TCATTTAGCGGATCTTTTGGGGGTTTTAAACTGTCTTTCTCCCTTTAGCTCCTTTGTAGCGGTGGTTGTGTTCAGTAGGTTTTGAACTGTGCATGTTTATCATAGGGGCACCACCGCCATCACAGATACTACTCTGAGTCGGACGACGACAGTGTCAGACGGGTAAAAATACAAATAAATCAAAGGAAATCATCTGTAGTGACTAGTAACTTTTCCATTTGTTTCTATCACAATGAAAAAAAAAAAAAGGAATTTCTAATGAAGTCACAATTATTTGTATTTTATTTTGTATGTGGCTGCAGAACATAAAGCTGTTTTAAATCCTCCAGAGAATCAGTCTGGACTTTTGGACACATGAATCAACGACTTTATATCATATTTAAAGGTTCACTGTGCAGCTTTTCTCTCACCTGCTTTTCTCCATGGAGATGTTACTGCTTTGCCTTGAATGTTCCATGATGTGACATTAAACACATCTATCGAGCGTTTATTCATTGCAGGTGTTGCTCAAAAATACAATAGATCTCTAGGCGTTTTCAGGCCGACAGAGAACCGTGCCAGGTGCCGGTTCCCGCACCTAATCTTGAACCGACTCACGCGTTCACGCCAGAAATCAGAGCGTTCAGGAACCGAAAAGTTTTTCTAAGTGAACCGTGATGACACAGAAGATGTCAGCACGTTCATCCGGGTCACACGCAAGAAAATTAACAAACAAAGAGCAACTGAAACTATCACATATGAAATTAAAAGTTTTAAGTCTACAGAAATGATTACTGTATTTTCCGGGCTATTAGATGCGCTCTTAAGCCTCGAACTCCATCAAAAAATGACCGCGAGCCCAACAATCCAGAGCGTCCAATATACGAATCCACTCAGGTGTCCCAGCACGACTTCAGTAAACTACAAAGCCGCAGAACACACAAACACACACGGACCAGACAGCGACCGCACAGCGAAACACACCCACAGACACACTCATCACTCCACGCCGACGAGGAACGGAACAGAGGAACGAACCGAAAAAGCGAGCGCGACGTGCCGCTTCTAGACACGACTGAACAACTGAGTCACTGCGAACACGCCGACAATCCGCTGGTCCCAGACACACCTCCCTACACGCCACAACTGAACAAAGCCCAGAGTCACCGTGAACGAACAAACAAACTAAACCACTCACCCATCACACTGTTGTTTCCTTTAAATTCCCACGTGGTTTATTTGTGAAAAAAGTTCGAAAATAGACCATTTAATGACAGTGCGTCTTATAATCCAGAGCGACTAATAGCCCATAAAATATGGTACGTACTGTTGGTTTTGCATGTATGAGTGTTCACCTGATAAAATTACATCTTTGGATTGGTCGTCGCTGTCGTCTTCTCCACAGCAGATCGATGTTGTAGCAGAGTTTGACGCACATAAATAATGACTTGTATAATTACAAACGCTCGCTGGTGTCGATGATGCGATCGTGACTGTTATTTCATCCGCTTTCGTACGGCTTTGTTTTTATTTGGTGGTAAATCCACACCGTCTGTCGATGACGCGTCGTGGGTTCACGTAAATGGTTTGAAAACAGCTTCTGTGAATACGGGCGACTCTCCGCAGATCTGACCTGTAACGTAGCCTATAGTTGTCTCCCTTGAGATAGACCGGTTTAATCTGTATCGTGGAATATTCTAGACCAGGGGTGTCCAAACATTTTTCATCAAGGGCCACATATCTAAACACAGACGAAGCAGAGGGCCGATCAAGGGCCGTAGACTGATGCTCAGTACAGTGAATAATTAAAATATGTGCAGGTTTAACATGTCAGAATAGGGCTGGGTGATATGGATCAAAAAATATATCTCGATATATTTAAAATATCGATATATCGCCCACCCCTATGTTAGAATGATCCATCAGTCTTTATTCGTGCTAAGATCCTTAAAACGAGACACTAAATATTAAATATTAACTCTATCAAGGTAGATTTTTTAAAAACTTGCAGTAAAAAGTTTAATTTTAATTGATGCAAGGTAATTTGGGACAATTCACCTGGAAGCCTGAGGGCCAAGAAAAATGTGTCTGAGGGCCGCATTTGACCCACGGGCCATAGTTTGGACATGACTGGTCTAGACAAAGCAATAACATCTCCATGAACACAAGCAGGTTACACAAAGCACCTTCAAGCAGCAAAACTCTCAAATTCTCCAGTGAAATGAACTGTAGCTGTTGTAGAATTTAGAGGCAAAAGATGAAAATAATAAGACGATTTTTAAGTGAAATTATATGTTAGTATAAGTAGTACGTCTTTTTATACAACTGCACAGACAGATATTAACAAATGTCTTTTAAAACAAGTCCAATATTTAAATCTAAACTTGTACAATTGAAATAAATAATTTGACTTCCGGTAATTTACAGGTGTTCTAGTCTGTGTCACTTTTCTGGAGGTGGGGTCGCTCCCTCTTTGTCTCCATGGAAACAGATCAGTTTAATGCCATACTGCGCAGCATCGCAGGTATAGCAGTAACATCTCCATGGAGACCAACAGAAAAATGACACCGCGCGCCTTTAAATTCACGTAGATGTTCCTTTTTGACCATTCACCCTCAAATCTCACTTCTTGATTTTCCTGTTTTTCTCTCATATTTTTAACCCCTTTTCTTTGCATTTTTCCTGTTTTGGTTTGTCAGAGACGGATGGCTATTCCCGCCAGAGTCGTTTCTAATTTAAACGTCCCAGATTTAGCCAATACACCAGACAATGAAACGGTGAATACAGGATCTGCATGAGGCTTTAAAGAGCTGCTCTGTGTGTGGACGTCTGAGAACGCCACTCGAGAAGTCACACGGGTTTGTGCAAACGTGGAGAGGAGAGAGGGTCAGGGGAGGGTCAGAGGAGCAGAGGAGGAGGTCAAATGGAGCAGAGGAAGAAAAACAGAGAGTCAGAAGAACAGAGGAGAGGGTCTGAGGAGCAGAGGAAGAAGGTCAGATGGAGCAGAAGATGAAAAACAAAGGGTCAGAGGAGCAGAAAATGAAAAACAGAGGAGGAAAAACAGAGGGTCAGAGGAACAGAGGAAAAAAACAGAAGGTTAGAGGATGAAAAACTGAGGGTCAGAGGAGCAGAAGATGAAAAGCAGAGAAGCAGATGAAGAGGGTCAGAGGAGCAGAGGATGAAAACAGAGGAGAGGGTCAGAGGAACAGTGGAAGAAAACGGGGTCAGAGGGACAGACGGAGAAGATGAGAGGAGCAGAAGATGAATAATAGAAGGTCAGAGGAGCAGAGGAAGAAAAACAGACGAGCAGAGGAGAGGGTCTGAGGAGCAGAGGAAGAAGGTCAGATGGAGCAGAAGATGAAAAACAGAGGGTCAGAGGAGCAGAAAATGAAAAACAGAGGATAAAAAACAGAGGGTCAGAAGAACAGAGGATGAAAAACAGGGTCAGAAAAACACAGAAAAGGGTTGGAGGAGGAAAAACTGAGGGTCAGAGGAACAGAGGAAAAAAACAGAAGGTTAGAGGATGAAAAACTGAGGGTCAGAGGAGCAGAAGATGAAAAGCAGAGAAGCAGATGAAGAGGGACAGAGGAGCAGAGGATGAAAAACTGAGGGTCAGAAGATGAAAAATAGAGTCAGAGGAGCAGAGGATGAAAACAGAGGAGAGGGTCAGAGGAACAGAGGAAGAAAACGGGGTCAGAGGGACAGACGGAGAAGATGAGAGGAGCAGAAGATGAATAATAGAAGGTCAGAGGAGCAGAGGAAGAAAAACAGACGAGCAGAGCAAAGAGGAGAGGGTCCGAGGATCAGAGGAAGAAAAACGGGGTCAGAGGAGCAGAGGGTCAGATGGAGAAGATGAGAGGAGCAGAGGATGATAAACAGGTTTAGTTGAGCAGAAGATGAATAATAGAAGGTCAGAGGAGAAGAGGAAGAAAAACAGAAGGTCGGAGGAGCAGATGAAGCAGAGGATGAAAAACACAGGGTCAGAGGATGAAAAACAGAAGGTCAGAGGAGCAGAGGATGAAAAACAGGAGCAGAGTCAACAGAGGAGAGGGTCAGAGGAACAGAGGGTCAGGTGGAGAAGATGAGAGGAGCAGAGGATGAAAAACAGAGAGCAGAGGAAGCAGAGGAGAGGGTCAGAGAAGCAGAGGATGGAAAAACAGAAGCAGAGGGTCAGATGGAGCAGAGGATGAAAAACAGGGTCAGAGGCACAGAAGATGAAAAAGAGAGGGTCAGATGGGGAAGAGGAGCGGAGCAGAGGATGAAAAACAGAAGTAGAGGATGAAAAACAGAAGCAGAAGATGAAAAACGGTCAGAGGAGAGGGTCAGAGGATGAAAAACAGAGGAGCAGAGGAGAAGATCATAGGAGTAGAGGATGAAAAACAGGGTCAGAAGAAAAGAGGAGAGGAGCAGATGAAGCAGATGAAGCAGAGGAGAGGGTCAGAGGATGCAGATGATTCATTTTCTCTAGTGGTGTTTTTCAGTTTCCATATATTTTTCCAGCATTTTTCCAGTGTCAGATTTGTCCGTCCCTTCGCTGCAGCTGCATCTGCTCGTCCGTCCGTGTGACGCAAACGTGAAACTGCTCCTGTTTTCATTCACTCAACACCTTTAACATTACAAGTGAATAAAAGCAGTGAGGTTTTTGGTTTAAATTTATGAAAAATCAGCTCCCTCTTTGTCCAAATCTTTCACCAAATCTTCACCAATTATAATTTAATATTTGGTAATTATTTGCTGTATCTTAATGTGCTTTTTGTGCTTTTTTTTCTCTGTGTGATCCTTTAACAGGCATGTACTTAACCAAACAAAAGGCTGATGGTTTGAATCATTCAGTACATTTTTATTCACTATGTCTTTATACACATAGATTTTTTCCACATTAGTTCTGTGGAAGATTGACTCTGCAGTAGTGTTGTCACGATACTAAAGATACTAAACTTTCAAACTTTTGATTCTAAGAAATGGACTCGATACTCAATACCGATTCCAATACCACAAGAATAATGAAAAACTCTTTTTTTTTTTTTTTTTTTTTTTAGACAATAGAATGTGATTTTCAACATTAAATCGTAGTATTGTCTTTTCTTTTCCCATATGGCCTTGGTATCTGTGTAATCCCTCAGTGGTCCCGGTCTAACCAGGACTCTAAACCAGGACTAAACCAGGACTCTAAACCAGGACTAAACTAAACCAGGACTAAACTAAACAGGACTAAACCAGGACTAAACCAGGACTAAATCAAACCAGGTCAGGACTAAACCAGGACTAAACCAGGACTAAACCAGGACTAAACTAAACCAGGAAACAGGTCTAAACCAGGTCTAAACACCAGGACTAAACCAGGACTAAAACCAGGTCTAACTAAACAGGTCTAAACAGGACTAAACCAGGAAAACCAGGACTAAATCAGGTCTAAACCAGGACTAAACCAGGACTAAACCAGGTCTAAACCAGGTCTAAACCAGGACTAAACTAAACCAGGACTAAACCAGGACTAAAACCAGGTCTAAACCAGGACTAAACCAGGACTAAACCAGGACTAAACCAGGTAAACCAGGACTAAACCATAAACCAGGACTAAACCAGGACTAAACCAGTAAACCAGGACTAAACCAGGACTAAACCAGGACTAAACCAGGACTAAACCAGGACTAAACCAGGACTAAACCAGGACTAAACCAGGACTAAACAGGACTAAACTAAACCAGGTAAACTAAACTAGGACTAAACTAAACCCTAGGACTAAAGGTCTAAAACCAGGTCTAAACAGGAAACTAAACCAGGACTAGGACTAAACCAGGACTAAACCAGGTAAACCAGGATAAATAGGTCTAAACCAGGACTAAACCAGGTCTAAACAGGTCTAGGACTAAACCAGGTCTAAACCAGGACTAAACCAGGACTAAAACCAGGACTAAACAGGACTAAACAACTAAACCAGGTCTAAACCAGGTCTAAACCAGGACTAAACCAGGTCTAAACCAGGACTAAACCAGGACTAAACCAGGACTAAACCAGGTCTAAACCAGGACTAAACCAGGACTAAACCAGGACTAAACCAGGAAACCAGACTAGGACTAACCTAAACCAGGTCTAAACCAGTCTAAACCAGGAAAACCTAAACCAGGACTAAACCAGGTAAACCAGGACTAAACCAGGTCTAAACCAGGACTAAACTAAACCAGGTCTAAACTAAACCAGGACTAAACCAGGACTGGAACCAGGACTAAACTAAACCAGGTCTAAACCAGGTCTAAACCAGGTCTAAAGGTCTAAACTAGGGAACTAGGTCTAAACCAGGTCTAAACAGGTCTAAACCAGGTCTAAAGGACTAAACCAGGTAAACCAGGTCTAAACCAGGTCTAAACCAGGTCTAAACCAGGTCTAAACCAGGTCTAAACCAGGTCTAAACCAGGTCTAAACCAGGTCTAAACCAGGATTAAACCAGGTCTAAACCAGGTCTAAACCAGGTCTAAACCAAGGTCTAAACCAGGTCTAAACTAGGTCTAAACCAGGTCTAAACCAGGTCTAAACCAGGTCTAAACCAGGTCTAAACTAGGGTCTAAACTAGGTCTAAACCAGGTCTAAACCAGGTCTAAACCAGGTCTAAACCAGGTCTAAACCAGGTCTAAACCAGGTCTAAACCAGGTCTAAACCAGGTCTAAACCAGGTCTAAACCAGGTCTAAACCAGGTCTAAAGCAGGTCTAAACCAGGTCCATGGGTGTACACAAGTCTATGTGCTCTGATTCTTCATACATTCAGGAAAGCTTCATTTTTGTCCTGTGAAAGTTTCTTCTTTAGTATCGATACCTGCGGGGAAAAAAAAGGATCTTCTTTTGATACCAGTTTTAGTATCGATTAGGGTCTGATTTTTGACAACTGCTCTGCAGACGTCACAACATAGATAACAAAAAAAGATAATGTATTTCCATAAAACTTATCGTTCTAAATAACACAAACTTGTCCTGATGACTTTTCTTGCTCTTGTCTGCTTCAATCTGTCTTATTTTATTAAAGGTCCCACATTACGCAAAACTGACTCTTGTGAGCTTTAAGTCATGTTCAGGGTTCCCACGGTCCTGGAAATTAAAAATGTCAATTTTTCTAAATTCAATGAAAGTTTTGGAAAAGTCACCTAATTTTAGTATCTCATGCAACTCCAGCTTTCTGTTAAGTTCTCATGATTCTATTATGATTATTTCCAAACATGTGTATTTGTTTAAAAGAGACGACAATAAAAGCACTGACAGGATTTTGAATGTTAAAAAACTATAATCCCAAACCATAAAGTGAGTGGAAAGAGTTAACATTTCATATTTAGCCCTAAAAGTCTGATCAGTTCTACACATGTAGGGGCCGTAATGTCATGGAAAATTCACTTTAGGTTAAGAAAAAGTCATCAAAGTTTTGAAATTTTGTCAATGAAAAAGAGTGGGAACCCTGCATGTTATAATTCTTGTTTTATAATATGTTCTTACCTCGTCAAAAACAGACCTGGAGTTGTATTTTGTGTGTTTTCTTTCTGTTTGTGAGAAGAACTCAGCGTAAATGTGCAGGTGTGTTTGTGAGTTAAACGTGAATGAAACAAAAACACAAATCCAGGTCTGTTTGTGACGAGGAAACAACATTAGAACAGAGATCGGAAAACAGCGTAACATGGGTCCTTTAAATGAGTTGAGCGCGTGCCTGATGGAGTGATTTTTAACCCTGTGATCACTCCTCTGTCCAAAAGTTTATTTTTGTGTTTGTGTTTTGTGTTTTTGTGTTTTGCTGCAGCTGTCGGAGGAGAAGTGGAGTTTCTTCCACTCGTCCAGAGCTCACGTTCACAGACCCTCGTGTGTGGCCACGGAGGTGGAGAGGCTCAGCTCGCTCCTGCAGAAGAAGATCGGACAGTCTGTGCTCGGAAAGGTACACGGAAAACTAAAAACTATGAGCTGCTGAGACTTTGCAGCTGATGTCGTCAACATTCTCTGGGGGGGTGACGCGAACTGGAGGCACTGCTCTGTCTGAAGCTCTGGTACACAAGTTCGACTTTAATCTGAGCTTTGTTTTAACACACTTTCCACGTTTACATGAGCTTTAATTCTGAATAAAAATAAATTCCACTTTAAAAAGACCATGTGAACACTGAAATGAAAATGATTATTCGGAGTTAAACTTAATTCTGAAGTAAGTGGGAGGTTTATTCATTTTTTAAAGCCAAATTAATTTATTCCTCGATCATGTAAACGTTTATTCTTCTTAAAAATAATTGCGGTTGTTCATGCTCGTTGTGTCGCCCTTCGATCCGGCTCCACCAGTCGTGGCTTCGGACTTTCCTCCACGTCTCTTTGGATTTGTGAGCGGGATGTGGGAGTGGGCTGAGGTAGATCAGCCTCACGCTCAGTTTGTCTTCTTCCTCTCTTCTCCGACACTCTTCCCTTCTCCTCCTCAGCCGACAGACGTAAAGTGTGATGAGACAATTCTCCAGCTGCTGCGCAATTATCATCAGAACAACTGCGGAAAAAGTTTGGATGGTGTTTGTGTCCGTGGTGTAACGACAAAAACCGAGATGACAGAAAAGCCGGGAGCAGCTGAAGTGTGTGTTTTCTTCCGGTCGACGTAAATACGTTTGTGTCTCTGTCCAATCAGAATTAAATAAAGACGATTTAACGTGTTTTCCATGTAAACCTCAATTCAGAATTATTATCGCCATGTGAACTCGAAGGAGAATATTTTAATTCCGGACTTTTTAATTCAGAACACTTAATTTGGAATAAAAAAAACATGTAAATGTGACCACTCTGACTGGAAAGAGCTTTGTTCGGAATTAAAATATTCTTCTTCTAGTTTACATGAAAATAATAATTCCGACTTGTTTCTGGATTTGTTTACATGGAAAACTAGTTAAATCGTCTTTATTTAATTCCGCTCGACCGGAAGAAAACACACACTTCAGCTGCTACCGACTTTTCTGTCGTTACGCCACGGACAAAAACACGATCCAAACTTTTCCCGCGGTGGTTCCGATGAAAATTGAGCAGCAGCTGGAGAATTCTGTCATCACACTTTACGTCTGTCGGCTGAGGAGGAGAAGGGAAGAGCGTCGGAGAAGAGAGGAAGAAGACAAAGTGAGTGTGAGGCTGATCTACCTCAGCCCACTCCCACATCCCACGCTCACAAATCCAAAGAGACGTGGAGGAAAATCCGAAGACAGGACTAGTGGAGCCGGATCGAAGGGCGACACAACGAGCATGAACTGAACGAACAAATTATTTTTAAGAAGAATAAACGTTTACATGATCGAGGAATAAATGAATATGGCTTTAGAATCTGAATAAACCACCCACTTACTTCAGAATTAAATTATTTTTATTCGGAATTAAAGCTCATGTAAATGTGGCAAGTGTGATGTTACTGAAAAAGTTTAATCCAAGTGATACTGAAGGAAAACTCAAGCGCAGACGACAGACGTGTTTTCCAGGATTTGAGACAGAATGTTGTACGTACATAATCCATAATATTGATCCTGTCTCTGTGCGTCAGGTTCACTTGGCGATGGTGCGGTACCACGAGGCCGGGCGCTTCTGTGAGAAAGACGAGGCGTGGGACCAGGACTCTGCCCTGTTCCACCTGGAGAGGGCAGCACTGTGCGGCGAGCTGGAGGCCATCATCGCTCTGGGGCAGGCGTACATGCAGCTGCCCCACCACATCCTGCCCGACATGCAGATGGAGGTACAGAAGAGAACTGCAGTGTGGAGGAGGACGGGCTCTTCAGTCAGTGTATAAATGTAGAGAAATAGGTTCAAAATCCAGCAAATTAAAGGAAATAAATTCAAGCTCAAACCAGTTAAACGAAGGACAGCCGATAAAAATAGGTTTTAAGAAGTGATTTAAAAGATGATCCAAAGCACCTTCATCCGGAGCCTGGAGTTTGGACCTGCCTGAGGATCTGCAGGGATAAAAGTTTTGAAATGTAACTTGGTGCAAAACCTAAACGAGCTTTAAAAGTGATCAGTAAAATCTTAAAATCGATTCTAAAACACACAGGCAACAAGTGAAGGGAGTTGGAAAAGTACAGAAACAATTTTATTAAGTAAAAGTATCTTTACTTTGCTTAATTCCTACTAAATAAAAGTAAAATTAACCATCTAAAAACCTACTTGAGTAAAAATAAAAAAGTACTTAATATAAAATGTAATTTGAATGAAAGTTACTTACCATATTTTTCAAACTATAAGTCGCACCAGCCCAAAAATGCGCAATGAAGAATTAAAAAAACATATATAAGTTGCAGTATATGTGGGAAATGTATTTTATATTTAATATTTTTCATCCCCCATTTAATTATTATTGTAATTATTATAACCACTACAACAACAATAGTTATTATTATTATTATTTTTTTTTATTATTATTATTTATTTATTTTATTTTATATAAATTTTTATTTATTTAATTATTATTTTTAAAAATTGTATTTATTATTATTTATTTATCAATACCTATATTTCCCTTATTAACTATATTTTAAGTCGCTACTTTAAATCCTAATGATCGAACATTTTTACATTTTTGACTTATTTTAGATTAGATTAGATTTAGTATTTATCCATATTCCAGATGGATAAATACAAATATTAAGTTAAGACAATAGTTAAGTCAGTTTTGTCTTTGCCAAAGCGTCGCTGTATTTTTGTGAACCGTGTTTTTTGTTGTGTTTTGTTTCCAGGACAGCGCGGGGAACAGAGCGCGGGGTTTCCGGTATCTTCTTCAGGCGGCGGAGGCTGGAGACCGGAGCTGTATGATCACCGTGGCCCGAGCCTTCGACACCGGATTCAACCTCCCCGTGGACAAGTGAGCGGCCGAGGGGAGCGTCTGTCTCCGTCCTCTCACTGCGGAGGATTAGAGGGTCATTAGTTTTGTTTTTGTTTGTTTTCCAGGAAGCAGGACTGGGAGGAGGCGGTGCACTGGTACGACACGGCTCTGAACATGATGGACTACGACGAGGGGGGGGAGTTCGACGGGACGCAGGACGAGCCTCGGTATCTGCTTCTGTCTCGAGAGGCTGAGATGTTCCAGGAGGGAGGCCACGGGCTGAAGGCGGATCCACAGAAAGCAGGTACGAGGACGGTCCAAGTCGTTTTAGATGAATATTGTGATTTAAAGTGTCCAGATTATAACGTCACGATCCACGAGCGTCAGAGATTATAACTGTAGAGCAGAAACAAGCGCAATGTGTGAGCGTAAAAGAAAGAACATGTTTAGTACATGGGCTTTACTGATTTTACTGTTTTGCTTTTTAGCCCTGGTTTAGTCCTGGTTTAGTTCTGGTTTAGATCTGGTTTAGATTTGATTTGGCTCTGGTTTGGCCCTGGTTTTCCCTGGTTTGTCCTGGTTTAGTGCTGATTTAATCCTGGTTTAGTCCCAGTTTAGTCCCATTTTAGTCCCGATTTAGCCCTGGTTACGTCTTGGTTTAGTCCTGGATTAGACCTGACTCAGCCCTGGTTTCGTCCTGCTTTAGTCCTGTTTTAGTCCTGGTTTTAGTCCTGGTTTAGTCCTGGTTTAGTCCTGTTTAGTCCTGTTTCAGTCCTGTTTCAGCCCTGGTTTAGTCCTGGTTCAGCCTGGTTTAGTCCTGTTTCAGTCCTTGGTTTAGTCCTGGTTTAGTCCTGGTTTAGTCCTGGTTTAGTCCTGTTTCAGTCCTGGTTTAGTCCTGGTTTAGTCCTGTTTCAGTCCTGTTCAGTCCTGGTTTAGTCCTGGTTTAGTCCTGTTTCAGTCCTGGTTTAGTCCTGTTTAGTCCTGGTTTAGTCCTGGTTTAGTCCTGGTTTAGTCCTGTTTCAGTCCTGTTTTAGTCCTGGTTTAGTCCTGGTTTAGTCCTGTTTAGTCCTGTTTAGTCCTGTTTCAGCCCTGGTTTAGTCCTGGTTTAGTCCTGGTTTGTTTCAGTCCTGGTTAGTCCTGGTTTAGTCCTGTTTCAGTCCTGTTTAGTCCTGTTTAGTCCTGGTTAGTCTGTTTCAGCCCGGTTTAGTCCTGGTTTCCTGGTTTAGTCCTGTTTCAGTCCCTGGTTTAGTCTGTTTAGTCCTGTTTAGTCCTGGTTAGTCCTGTTTAGCCCTGGTTTAGTCCTGGTTTAGTCCTGGTTTAGTCCTGGTTTAGTCTGGTTTAGTCCTGTTTAGTCCTGTTTGTCCTGGTTTAGTCCTGTTTCAGTCCTGGTTTAGTCCTGGTTTAGTCCTGGTTTAGTCCCTGGTTTAGTCCTGGTTTAGTCCTGTTTAGTCCTGTTTAGTCCTGTTTAGTCCTGGTTTAGTCCTGTTTAGTCCTGGTTTAGTCCTGGTTTAGTCCTGGTTTCCTGTTTAGTCCTGTTTAGTCCTTTAGTCCTGTTTCAGTCCTGGTTTAGTCCTGGTTTAGTCCTGGTTTAGTCCTGTTTAGTCCTGTTTAGTCCTTTTAGTCCTGTTAGTCCTTTTAGTCCTGGTTTAGTCCTGGTTTAGTCCTGGTTTAGTCCTGTTTCAGTGGTTTAGTCCTGTTTCAGTCCTTTAGTCCTGTTTCAGTGTAGTCCTGGTTTAGTCCTGGTTTAGTCCTGTTTCTGCCTGGTTTAGTCCTGGTTTAGTCCTGGTTTAGTCCTGGTTTAGTCTGGTTTAGTCCTGTTTAGTCCTGTTTCAGTCCTGGTTTAGTCCTGGTTTAGTCCTGTTTAGTCCTGGTTTAGTCCTGGTTTAGTCCTGTTTAGTCCTGTTTAGTCTGTTCCTGTTTAGTCCTGGTTTAGTCCTGGTTTAGTCCTGGTTTAGTCCTGTTTCAGCCCTGTTTAGTCCTGGTTTAGTCCTGGTTTAGACTGGTTTAGTCCTGTTTAGTCCTGTTTCAGTCCTGGTTTAGTCCTGTTTCAGTCCTGGTTTAGTCCTGTTTTCAGTCCTGTTTTAGTCCTGTTTTAGTCCTGTTTCAGTCCTGGTTTAGTCCTGTTTCAGTCCTGTTTTAGTCCTGTTTCAGTCCTGGTTTAGTCCTGTTTAGTCCTGTTTTAGTCCTGTTTCAGTCCTGGTTTAGTCCTGGTTTAGTCCTGGTTTAGTCCTGGTTAGTCCTGTTTCAGTCCTGGTTTAGTCCTGGTTTAGTCCTGGTTTAGAGTCCTGGTAGTCCTGTTTCAGTCCTGGTTTAGTCCTGTTTCAGTCCTGGTTTAGTCCTGTTTCAGTCCTGTTTTAGTCCTGGTTTAGTCCTGTTTCAGTCCTGTTTCAGTCCTGGTTTAGTCCTGGTTCTTACGGTCTTTTTCCCTCTTGTTTTCTCGTAGGAGACCTTTTCACTGAAGCGGCAGAAGCAGCGATGGCGGCGATGAAAGGACGTTTAGCCAATCAGTATTACATGAAAGCGGAGGAGGCCTGGGCGCTCATGGAGGAAGAATGAACCCAAATCTAAGTTTTAACCAAGGGCTGTGTGGAGATGTGGTTATGGTTTACATATTTAAATACATTTTCTTTTAATTCCCCAACTTTGGTTTTTGGTACCAGTGCTTTGTGAGTGACGTCCGCCTCAGAATGATCCCAACTTTTCCTATTCTGATCCTGGTTTTGTCTGTTTACATAAAAATCGTATGAGAGAATCAAAGAAATATTGTTTACTGGTGTTTGCGAAGTGTCAATGTTAAATGCTCTTATTGAACAAAAAATGTACAAAGTCTGAAAATAAGAATAAATAGCTTTTATTGATTATGTTGTCTTCTTTCTGTATGTTTTATTGGTTTAATTAGTTTGATATTTACTGGTGGTTTTTAGATTCTAAAATGTGATTATGTCATTCTCCCACAAGGGGGCTCACAGGAACTGAGATGTCTGAACATTTTGATCCTGATCATCACTGACTCACTGTAACTGTTTTAACAGAAGTCTGTATTTCAGACGACGATGAATAATCCAGTCTCAAATTTCTGATCCTTTTGCTCTTTGTAAATAACTGCGATTCTCTACAGACGTTCAGCTCTTTGGTGTAATATCTGAGTTTCACCACGAGGCGGCGCCAGTGCATCAGTGTAACCACAGCGGCTCTGGTCCTCGGACCGAGCTTCAATACAAAATGTTTTTTTTAATATATTTCTGTCTCAGTGGCAGCACATTTACGCACGTGACTGTGGTTTCTGTTTTCTAGAGACAAAGTAAATATCAGGTCTTTTCTTTTAATAACAAAGTCACAAAAATATGATTAGATCAAGTTTTTTGTGTCTCTGTTCAAGTCAAAGATTCATTTTTCATCTGAAATCAGAGTTTTGACTAAATGAGTCTGAAGTGAAGAGATTAAAGACTCTTTGTTTCTGTCCCTTCTCTCTCGTGCGCGCGCAGGAGCCTGGTGGCTGCTGGTGCACGCGCGTGCCTCATTGGCTGCACGCGCAGATAAAGGTGCCCCTCGGGGCCACGCGCGCGCATCATAGAAAAGACGCGCGTGCACCACGGCCACGGCGCCTCGCGTGGGCTCAGAGCGCGACGTGCCACAGGGTCACGCGAGGCACGGCCGCGCGGACACAGTCGGAGATGAGTCACGGCGCGAAGGGACACGAGGAAAGTTTGGGGACGGTGAGACGCAGCTCCGCGGGACGCCAGTAAACATCCCCGCACTTTGACTTTTACTGCGGGTTTAATGAACTCTGGATCTTTGGCTCCGTTAACCCGAACTGACGTCACGAGGAGGCACCATGAGCGCGGACAAAGATCTCGGCTCCGGTTTGACTGATTTTCTGACCGAGTCCTGTCACCTCGCGCGGGGCGCGTTTTCACTCACGAGCGTCTGAAATGATCCTCACAACTTCAAGTTAAATGGTTTGAAGTGAATTGATTTTAGCAAAAGGAAAAGCGCAGCTGGAGTCTCCATTACGCACAGCGGAGCCGGACGCAGCGCGCGGAGCTCAGTTTAATCCTCTCCAAAACCAAACGAGAAGGACATGTTTGATGTTCAGTGGAACGCGCCACGAGGGGACATTAATCTTTCATGAAGCGGTAATGTTCAAGCCCAAATGTGAAGATAATGATGATGCTTTAACAAGAAAACATGAATGAAGTAAACTAACTGGAGATTTTACACAGCTAACGGTGTTACACAGAAGTCATTTTACGCAAAAGAAGAGGACCGAGTCTGCACTGTCCGCGGCTCACGAGACCCAACTCTGTCCAAATAAAACATGTGAGATTTCCTTCAAGCACACAGATGATCCACAGATGATCCACAGATGATCCACTGTCCCGTTTGGGTCAAATCCAAGAAATAGAAGCACAAAGAGCACGCGCACAGACGAAAGGAGGACGGAGCACAGTGAGGTTCTTTTATCGTTCACCTAAAACCCGATTTTTGTGTTTGAATAATGACTGACTGAAGACTAAAGATTGATAAACCCAGTGCAAGAAACGTATCGGACAATTTCCTTTTTACGCACAAGAGAAGCCAGCGCGTAATTTGCTTTCGAGGCATTTCTCTTTATTCCAGTGTCGACATCTTCACTGTTTTTACACGAATTGTGATTAAAACTGAACCAGTGTCGACATCTTCACTGTTTTTACACGAATTGTGATTAAAACAACTGAATCTATGAACAAATAAAAGGACTAAGATAAAAATAATAGAGTCCTAAAGTGAAGTGAGGGCTCGCACAAGATGCACAGAAACTGAAGAAAAAATTGCCAAGTTCTTGGTCAGTTACGTAACGAGTGAATTGCCCTTCATCTCGACAAAGAAAGCACAACATAAAAGAATTGTAGAACATATCGTAAAAATAAGGAATATGGATTTTAAGATTGTTTTAAGTTCTGTTGAGAAAAAAGCACGTCGTTTTTTTTTTGTTTTTTTAGTTTTTTCGAAATTCAGAATCCTAAATTTTTGAGACACGTTATCCCGACTTTTCTTTCCTTGTTTCACTGACTAAAAATTTAAATTAAACACTACTTACAATGGAATAACAAGACAAAGATGAGACATTTTTTACGACGCTGAGTTGACAAAGTTTGCATTTTTTGGGAGGGTAAAACACAGAAGCACAAAATGGATCCGGAGACCAGCGAGCCCCGCGGTTTGGCCAAATCCGCCGCGGTGAAACTCTCAGAAATGGGTGCGAAGACCAAACAGCTCGGCACGGCCATGAAGGATCCGCATCAGCAGCGACGCATTATTCTCGTTATCGTTTGCGTTGCTCTGCTCTTGGACAATATGCTTTACATGGTCATCGTGCCGATTATTCCGGATTACCTCGCCGATTTGGAGAGCGAACAGAGCGAGCACGTGCACATCGTTTTGCATCCCAACAGCACGCTACACCCCACTCCAAATTCGCCGCCGAAAAACAACCTGGACATTCAAATCGGCGTTTTGTTTGCATCCAAGGCCATACTGCAGCTCATCGTCAACCCAATCAGCGGGACTTTTATCGATCGGGTCGGTTACGATATCCCTTTGCTAATCGGTTTAATGGTCATGTTCGTTTCGACGTGCATTTTCGCGTTCGCGGAAAACTACGCCACGCTGTTTATCGCGAGGAGTTTGCAAGGTTTAGGATCGGCGTTCGCGGACACTTCGGGTTTAGCCATGATTGCCGATAAGTACACGGAAGAAGCGGAGAGAAGCCGTGCGCTGGGAATCGCTCTTGCGTTCATATCGTTCGGAAGTCTCGTGGCGCCCCCTTTTGGCGGGATCCTGTACGAGTTCGCCGGGAAAAGAGTGCCGTTCATCGTCCTGGCTTGCATATGTTTGGCGGACGGATTTTTGCTTCTTACCATCATAAGACCGTTAACGAATCGAACTCGCGAAAACATGCCGGTGGGGCCTCCGATCTACAAACTCATGATCGATCCGTACATCGCCGTAGTCGCCGGCGCGCTCACCGTATGCAACATCCCGCTGGCGTTTCTCGAACCGACTATCGCGAGCTGGATGGAAACCACGATGCACTCTTCGCAGTGGGAAATGGGGCTCACATGGCTTCCCGCGTTCTTCCCGCACGTTTTTGGCGTTTACATCACCGTCCGATTAGCGGCGAAAAACCCGAATCTGCAGTGGTTCTACGGCGCGCTCGGCATGGTCATAATCGGCGCGAGCTCGTGCACGGTTCCCGCTTGTAAAACCTTTGGCCAGCTGATCGCGCCGTTATGCGGGATATGTTTCGGGATCGCGCTCGTAGACACCGCGCTGCTTCCAACTTTGGCGTTTTTGGTCGACGTTCGCCACGTTTCGGTTTACGGCAGCGTCTACGCCATCGCGGATATCTCGTATTCCGTCGCGTACGCCATGGGTCCGATCGTCGCCGGGCAAATTGTGCATAACTTGGGTTTCGTTCAGTTGAATCTAGGCATGGGTTTGATAAACGTCCTGTACGCGCCGGCTTTGCTCATGCTGAGAAACGTTTGCCAAATGAAACCGTCGTATTCTGAAAGAGACACTTTACTGGAGGACGGTCCGCAGGGGCTGTACGACACGATTCGGATGGAGGAGCGGAGAGGGAAGAAGAAAAACTGCGTAAACGTCGACGGGAACGGAGTGGACGCGTGGAGTGGAGTTCAACGGTCGATGTCGGAAGAGTCGTTTGGGAATGATTTCACTTAAAGGGACGGTGCAATGGTTAAAATGGGCTTCTATGAGAGACTTTACAGAGGTAAGGTCGTACGAAGACGTTAATCGGAGTTCGGAAAAGCAAACAGGAGTCGACAAAAGTTTTACTAAACAATCTAGACACAAAAACGCACAATTTACCGCACTTTTAATCATAATTTCTTAACATGTATCATATTTATTCAAGCGTAACTTTTTACATTTCGTAGATAAATCCATTTATTTTGGATCCATTTTTGGATTTGTTGTCACTTCAAGATGAGATTTTAAATATTTACGTTTTTGCATTACCATTTTACACCACTAGATGGAGTCAAGAGCTGATTTTTCAAAACATTTTTCCGGTAAACGATTATATACTTACAAAAATGTTCCTTTTTGTACGTATTGCTCAAAACATAAGAGAAAAATTTGGCAACTTTTTACATTTCATAGATATTGTCATTTATTTTAGATTAACTTTTAGATTCCTTGTCACTTACGAATGTGAAAACTAAACTTTAAGAATTGAAATTTTATTTACTTTTTGACTATTTTACGCCAGTAGATGGAGTCAAGAGCTGATATTTCAAACCCTATTTCCAGTTAAATAATATATATTTACAAAAATTTTCCACTTTGTATGTATTGCGTTAGCTCAAAATATTAGAGTTAAATTTGGCAAACTTATTTACAGATTTGGCAACTTTTTACATTTCATAGATAAACCTGTTTATTTTCTATTAACTTTTGGATTCATTGTTACTACGAATGTTAAAACTAAACTTCAAGATGAAATTTTAAATATTTACTTGTTTCATGACCATTTTACGCCACTAGATGGAGTCAAGAGCTGATCTTGCAAACTGTATTTCCAGTAAAATAAAATATATACAAAGAAGGTTCCTTACTGTATGTATTGTGTCAGCTCAAAATATAAGAGTTAAATTTGGCAAACTTATTTACAGATTTGGAAACTTTTTACATTTCATAGATAAACTTGTTTATTTTGGATTAATTTTTTGATTTATTGTCACTTCAAATGTGAAAACTAAATCTCAAGAATAGAAATTTAAAATATTTACTTTTCGCATGACCATTTTACACCACTAGATGGAGTCAAGAGCTTATATTTACAGTAAAATTCAGCAAACTTATTTATTTATTTGGCAACTTTTTACATTTCGTAGATAAACCCATTTATTTTCGATTAACTTTTGAATCTGTTGTCACTTCGAATGTGAAAACTAAACTTCAAAAACGGCGAGTTTAAATATTTACTTTTTGCATTACCATTTTACGCCACTAGTCAAGAGCTGATCTTTCAAACCATATTTCCACTAAAATTTGGCAAACTTATTTAGATAATTAGCAACTAACTATTTACATTTCATAGATAAAACCGTCTATTTTCGATTAACTTTTGGATTTGTTGTCACTTCGAATGTAAAAACTAAACTTAAAGACGAGATTTTAAATATTTACTTTTGTCATGACCATTTTACGCCACTAGATGGAGTCAAGAGCTGATCAAAAGAATTCTTACAAAAACGTTCCTTATCATATGTATTGCGTTAGCTCAAAATATAAGAGAAAAATTTGGCAAACTTATTTACAGATTTGGCGAGATTTTAAATATTTACTTTTCACATGACCATTTTACACCACTAGATGGAGTCAAGAGCTGATATTTTAAACCATATTTCCAGTTACCGAAATGTTCCTTATTGTCTATTTTGCGTTATTTACAGATTTGGCAATGCAACCGATAATAGTGAATACTGAAACTGAATAGGCCTGTTTATTGCTGATGTGTCCTTGGGCAAGACACTTCCACATGCCTGGTTATAACTGCCGTTCGTGTTTGACAATCACTGAAAAGGATATTGGCGCAGATTCGCAGCCAAATCTCTAGGAATCAGTCCCAGGGCAGCTGTGGCTAAGAAAAGTAGCCTGTCCTCTTCTTCTTTAAACGCGTATATACTCAATTTTAAGCCAGATGCCCTCCCAACTCTTGCACTTCATACTCAGTCTATAAATTCTACTCAAAAAGACCAAGTAAAAAGTTCTTCTTACCGTGAAGCAGGTTGGAAATTCAGAAGTATTTTTTATATTTTATTATTTATACCTTTGGCCTTAGTGTCCAAACAAGTATAAAATATTGTGGATATACGACAACGACTAAACACGAAGCAGGAAATCGAAATAAATGTTCAGTAAAGACGCAGCCAAGGTTTTCTTCTACCTTGTAATAACTCAAAAAACACCTTTTCCTCACAGCCTAGAGGTTTTTTTTTTTTTTTTTTTTGTCTATCCTTGTTTTAGTTTTACTTTATTGTGCATTATATAAAAACAATGTATTATTATTATTATTATTATTATTATTATTATTATTATTATTATTATTATTATTATTATTATTATTATGAAGGATTTTACTATTTGTTTACTACTTGCACTTTTTGTATAATATATGGAATCTATTTTAGTGGACACACTGTTTTGCACGGAAATATCTTAAAATTAAGTTAGAACACAAATTTTTAGTTTTGAAATGTATTAATAATCATTGCTATAAAATAAGCTACAAGTATTGGTACAGACTGGCAGCCAAATCTGTATGAATCAGTCCCAGGGCAGCTGTGGTTAAGGAAATGAAAGAAAGTCCATCTGTTTCTTCCTTAAATGCAAATATATATTTGTTATACTTGTAGAAATTGCACATTTTCAAAGCACGTTTGCATACATATACATACAATATCTTCTAATTATTCTGTTTCTTTTATGCGTGAATCTATAAAAATGGGCCCAAAATTGCACAAAATGTTAAAATACTATTTCATATTTTTTAATTACACTTCTTGTGTGTATGAATAAACAAAACAAAAAAATAAATAAATGCCAGAACTGCACTTATTTTGAAAGCACAATTGTGAACTTTTTGAATTTTTCATCATCCTATACTCAATGCATAACTTAATAAAAATGCATTATAATAATGTAATTTTTTTCACTTTTAATCACAGTTTATTAATTCTTGAATTGCCAAAACTGCACACATTTTGAAAGCATTTGCAAACTTTTAGAATTTTTAATCGTCTTGTGCTCAATGCATAACTTAAGAAAATGTTGTAATAATAATAATGTTGATTTTACTCAATTTTTTCATCATAATATATTCATTACTAAGCTGAGTTAACTTAATTTTTGCTCACATTTTGAAATTACATTTGCGAGCTCTTAGAATTTTTTTTTTTTAACTCAATAAAACCATGTTATAATAATGTTTTACTCAGTTTTTACAGTTTTAATCACAATTTATTAATTACTGAGTTGCCAAAACTGCACACATTTTAAAAGCACATTTGTGAACTTTTAGAACTTTTAATTGTCTTATACTCGATGCATAACTTGATAAAAATATGTTATAAAAATGTTGATTTTACTAAATTTTTCACTTTTAATCACAATTGATTAATTATTCAGTTGCCAAAACTGCACACATTTTGAAAGCACATTTGCGAGCTCTTAGAATTTTTAATCATCTTGTACTCAATGAATAATTTAATAAAAAATATGTTATATAATGTTGATTTTACAAATTTTTTTCAGTTTTAATAACAATTTATTAATTCTTGAATTCCTCAAATTGCACACATTTTGAAAGCACATTTGCGAACGTTTAGAATTTTGAATCGTCTTGCACTCAATGCATAATTTAATAAAAATATATTGTTATAATGTTGAATTTACTCAATTTTTTCACTTTTAATCACAATTTATCAGTTCTTGAGTTGAGTTAACTTAATATTTTTATTTAATTTTTGCTCCTGTTTGCTTTTCTAACCTTCCATAATTGACCCTCAAACCTCACAGAAGCCCATTAGACAAGTGAACTAAAGACAGCACAAAAGCTCGATATAGTTATAATATTTGAGAATTATACTTTATTTTCGTTGATGTGCAGTGCGTGTGTTGAACTTCGTGGGAGAATTGTCTGTTCCTCTTAATGTACAAATTGTAACTAAAACTCAATGTGGGACCAAGTTTATGAGCGCACTCAGCCCTACGCTACAGCGATACCAGAAATAACTCTATTTTTAGTGACAGAGGATTTTTTTACTCACGTTTCGGTTTGGCTCTGACGTGTTTTTGAGTAGAAGACGGTGTAAAGTCGTAGGGTTGTACATATGTGAAATAAAGTTGTGTTTGTGTGAATGACGTTCTGTCCATGTAACCTTCATGTTTTAATAAAGACAAGAAACATCTGTCCACATCGACTCCAACTTCATTTCAAGAAAAACATGATCAGTAAAAATGTTTTTAAAAAATGCATTATACACTTTCCACAAAGCAAAATAAGACTATTTCAAATCTGTTTTATATATTTTATCTGTATTTTAATGTATATTTACAAAATGTTTAGGACAATGAATGAAAAAAAGTGTAGTAGTAGTAGCAGTACTACTAGTAGTAGTAGTTAGTAGGAGTAGGAGTAGTAGCAGCAGTAATAATAGCAGCAGCAGCAGTAGTAGTAGTAGTAGTAGTAGTAGTAGTAGGGCTAGTTGTAGTAGTTCAGCTAATAGTCATAGTAGTAGTAGTGTTTACAAGTTGCAGTATATGAGAAGCAGAAGTAGTAGGACTAGAATCGATATATTTGGAACAACAAATGAACAGAATATATAGTGGTACACACACTATACATAGTACTTGGGCTAGTTATAGTAGTAGTGGTAGTAGTAGTAATAGTAATAGTCATAGCCTTACACGTTATTATATGTGGGAAGTAGTAATAGTAGTAGTAGTAGTAGTACTAAAATCAATATTCAGTTAAACGTTATGAGACAGTTTTTATGCGTATTATCTGGAACAATGAGCAAACAGAAAATACTGGCACACGCACAACACATGTATTTTTACTTTTTTTAAGTAGTAGTAGTAGGGCTAGTAGTAGTTAGACTAGCAGTAGTAGTAGTTGTAGTAGTAGTAGTTCGTAGAGTCCCTCAGTCGTCCAGGTAGGATCCAAAGCAAAGGAGAAATTCAATTCCGTCAACTGGACAAAAGAAAAACACACTTTTTTTTTTGTCCAGTTGATAAAATTGAATTTCTCCTTTGCATAGTAGCAGTAGTAGTAGTAGTAGTAGTAGTAGTAGTAGTAGTAGTAGTAGTAATTGAACAGCTGTAATACACATATACAATATTCTGTATGAGGTATAGATTTTAGTTTTGACATTTAATCAATATTATTTTAGTTAATCGGACTTGCATAAGAAAATACAGTTTAAATCTCGTTTGTATCTCAGTCAAATCAAAACGACAACAAATAAATTCCCTTTGCGGTACTAGAGTATAATTTAATCTATTCACAAATCAATATTTAAGCTGCACGGGGCGTTATAATTCACTGTCGCCGCCTTTTACTGTGTTGCATTTATTATGAAAAGTGCTTTCAATCTTCAGCACGACGCCATTTTGTGGTTTCAAAGTCACAACCTTCAAAACCATTTGCTTTTTATTAGTTTTTTTTTTTGGACCGCAGTATCTTTTCTCAAACAAAATTAGAAAAAATAAGAGACAATTTTATGTTTTTATTCGGTTACAGCAAATCTAAAGCGTCCCATGATTTAAAAAAGTGTCGAAAACGTAATTTTATAGCAAATCTAAAGCTTTCCATGATTTAAAAAAGTGTCAAAAACAAAACTCTATTAAAACCAAATTAAATATTAGTTTTGTTTAGTAAATTACCCAAACTTTAATTGACAATCTAATTAAAATAAAAGCATGACCAGTGACTAAAAGCCCGTGCGTAATTTGCGTCCCACGTCTCCAATGATGCCCCTTCCGTTTCCACACGCGCGTTAATGTTATTACTTTTACGCACGCAGAGGAGGGGGGCATCTTGTCTTACGGTGCGTGACGAGGGGAGGAGTTCGTAGCCTCCGGGGTGGGGAGAGAAAAAAATTCACGGAGGTAGACAAAACGTGCACCTTTTTTTTTTTTTTTTTTTTTTTTTTTTTTTGGTGACGGGTCTATGGCGCATGAGTTGGAGCGAGTGGTTGGAGAGGCTGGTTTGGTTTTACGCACGGGGATAACGGAGCTACGATGTGATCCAAGGACGGAACGGTGGACTCCCACACGCGACAAACCGAAGCAGAAACGGTAAGAATACTTTTACTTTTTACAGCATGGATAATTTTGTTGAATAAAATGAAAATTCTTTAATAATTTACGCGTTTACGGGTTTAAAAATCTGCGTTAAAATCTCGGTTTTGGATTTACGGTGATATCAAATTGCACTTTTACCAACTTATTTCAATTAAACAACGTAAATGTAAATTAAAACCAACAAAAAGCGTGTCACAAAATTTAAAAAATAAAATAAAATAATCTACTTTTAAGACTTAGAAACGAAAATCGATCGCAAGGACACGAGCTACAGTTGGGAGCGTATACGCGTACCAACACACTCGCAAATTAACTGAATATTAAGTCACATTTTAAGCTTTGTATAAATCTAATAATTATTTAAATGTGTGTGTTTTATCAGGTAGAAGAGGCGTCCTAAAAAAAAAAAAACGTATTTTTGTTTTCTACGGCGCGTTCAAGAACATTCAAGATGCCAATTTTGACGAAGGAAACGAGCATGGACAAACAGGTACGAATTATTTTCTTTTTTTATTTGTTTGTTTTTTTTAATATAATTGTTTTGATAGTTTTAAATCGTTAGAAATCACTTTGTACGTGCTTCGGTTCGAGTTACGGGACATTCAGGACCACGGACAGAGACACGTGCAGTTCTTCTGATCGCCGCTAGAGGCAAAGCACCTTGAATGAAATTGCAAAACCGTCTGGACAGAGAGAAGAGACAGACATCTTTTACGGTCTATTTTTAGCTCGATAAGAATTCATTTAGACAGTTATGCACACAGCTGTCTAAAAAAAAAAACGTGATTAAAGGGCGCATGTTACGTTATTTTCTGATGTGTCGTATGTTCTAATGTCGTTTCGTCGTCACAAACCGACCTGGAGTTGTTTTTTGTTTCATTTGTACATGTTTAACACACAAAACCTGCACATTTATGCTGAGTTCTTCTCTCAAATTGAAAACAAAAAACACTCTTTTCCACCTTGTGATGTCATGTGGTGATACAGGAAGTGCTCCGTTGTGTTTTTAAACTCCACACACCTTCACTAAAATCATTTGGTTAATAATTCCAGTCCCGGAAATGCTGGCCTCTACTGAACTAAAGGTGAAAAAGTAGATGTTAACTTGAAAACTACCGCTTCATGACATCACAAGGTGGAACAAAGCATTAAAGTGTCACTCAAACATGTGTGAATGAAACAAAACACAAGTCCAGGTCTGTTTTTGAGGAGGGAACAACATTAGAACATGACTTAAAGCTCACAAGAGTCAATTTTATATTTTAATACATGGTTCCACTAAGCCTCTTCCAGAAAAGTTACACAGTGCACCTTTAATTAATTAATACATTTTTACATTTATTTTATGGCAGTTTTTCTTGTATTAAGAAGAAACACATTAAGAAGATGCAGATATGATACAAACCTCAATAGACTGACAATTCAATATGATATATTTCAAACTGATTCAAGACAGTTCAATAAAAAATAAAGTCTAAATCAGGGGTGTCAAACTCATTTTGGTCCGGGGGTCCGTATCCAACCTACTTTGATCCCAAAGGGGCCGGATCAGAAAACTCATGTCATATAAACCCCAAAAATAACAATAAGTTCAAATATTTGTGCAGAGAAACACAAATCTATTACAGAAATCTGTTTTAATTAATGAACTCTTTCTTTTACAAAATATTATAATATCATGAACAACCTGAAACTTTAAGAAAAATGCAATTTCAACACAATATTTTAACATGAACTTGTATGCAAATAGGAATAAGTCAATTTTTCTTGGAAAATCCTGCACTTGGCTCCACTTTTCTCATGTTGGACATTTTTCTGATGAGGGTGTCACGGTCAACAGTCAAAACGATCGTCCTTTAAGAGCGTTTGGAAAGAGACAAGTCTTCATTTGTGCTGCTCTGGTGGGAGGGGCCACGTACAGAGACGCTGGAGACACTGCTACGCTAAGCAACGCAGAAAATTACCAATATTTTAATAGAAAATATAATTAAAATATTTTAGTAGAAAATCAGCCGAGGGCCAGATTAAAGGTCTTGGAGGGCCGGATCTGGCCCCCGGGCCTTATGTTTGACACCTGTGGTCTAAATCATGTGACACTAAAAGTCTTTGTTAAACCACTTCTTGTGTAAGTTCATATGAAACACAAACATTTTAAATCATCAAAACAGTGAAAATGTCAAATGTGTCGCATAAACGAGTTTACTTCCTCTGAACAAACAACAAAACTGTAAAAATACATTAAAAAAATACTATATATTGATATATCAAAACAGCAGCCCATGATATCGATACTGTGTCATCACATTAAATGATACGATATATCGATATTTTGATATTTTTGCACACCTCTAGTGATATAAATACGTAAATAAACACACATGAAACGAAACACAAGTCCAGGTCTGTTTTTGCTGATTAGAACACGACTTAAAGCTGAACCAGGACTAAACCAGGTCCAGGACCAGACCGGAACCAGACCAGGACTGAGACCAGGACTTAGACTGGGACCAGACCAGGACTGAGACCGGGACTGAGACCAGGATTGAGACCGGGACTGAGACCGGGACCAGACCGGGACCTGACCGGGACCATAACGAGACCAGACCAAGACTGAGACTAAAATTTATACCAGGACCAGACCAGGACCAGACCATAATTGAGACCGGGACTGAGACCAGGACTAGACCAGGAGTGAAACCAGGACTGAGACCAGGACTAGACCAGGACTGAAACCAGGACTGAGACCAGGACTAGACCAGGACTGAAACCAGGACTGAGACTAGGACCAAACCAGGACTGAAAACGGTTTAGTCCTTGTTTAGTAGTGGTTTAGTCCTGGTTTAGTCCTGGTATTAGTTTTGGTCTAGTCCTGGTTTCAGTCCTGGTCTCAATTACAGTCTGGTCCTGGTCTGGTCCCAGACTCAATCCTGGTCTGGTCCTGGTCTAAGTCCTGGTCTCACTCCGGCATCGCAGTTTAAGTCACAGAAATGAGAAATGGTCATTATCCGTTTTTTTCCATTTTTCATTTAAACACAAAATCGAAAACTAAAAGAAGCGAATCATTGTCTGTTTTTTCATTTTGTTTTTGGAGACAAATAATAAAGAAAACAGCTTTTTTTTTTTTTTTCTTACTTTTGGTTTTATTTTGAAAAACAAATGAAAGAATGACACACAGATTCTGAACCCTTTAACTGTTGCTATAATCTATCACAAGAACTACAAAAATGGCCGACGCTTTTATACATTTTGCTTTGGACTCGAGGTCGTACTGTAAAATCACGTCAATAAATCGATCAGTGCACTCGAATCTAATCACCCAGAAGCATTTTAATCAGTGAAGCGGCGCCACACGTCACTCTGTGGGCAGCAGCTGGACCAGGCCTGGACTCTGCAGCGTCAGCGAGGAGAGACAGTGGTTAGAGACCCTGACTCACAACCAGAGGGTCCCTGGTTGGAGACCCGGATGGTTTAAAGGTCCTGGATTAGACAAAATGGATTCTTGTGAACGTTAAGTCGTGTTATAATGTTGTTACGTCCTCAAAAACAGACCTGGACTGTGTTTGGTTTAGACCTGGTTTAGACCTGGTTTAGACCTGGTTTAGACCTGGTTTAGACCTGGTTTTAAATCTGGTTTAGTTCTGGTTAAATCCTGTTTTAGTCTTGGTTTAGTCCAGGTTTAGACCCGCTTAAGACCTGGTTTAGTCCTGGTTTTAGTCCTGGTTTAAACCTGGTTTTGTCCTGGTTTTAAACCTGGTTTAGACCTGATTTAGTCCTGGTTTAGTCCTGGTTTTAGTCATGGTTTAGACCTGGTTTAGTCCTGGTTTTAGACCTGGTTTTAGACCTGGTTTAGTGGTTTAGACCTGGTTTAGTCCTGGTTTTAGACCTGGTTTTAGACCTGGTTTAGTCCTGGTTTAGACCTGGTTTAGACCTTGTTTTAAATCTGGATTAGTTCTGGTTAAATCCTGTTTTAGACCTGGTTTAGACCTGGTTTAGTCCTGGTTTTAGACCTGTTTTAGTCCTGGTTTAGACCTGGTTTAGTCCTGGTTTTAGTCCTGGTTTTAGACCTGGTTTAGTCCTGGTCTAGACCTGGTTTAGACCTTGTTTTAAATCTGGATTAGTTCTGGTTAAATCCTATTTTAGTTCTGGTTTAGACCTGGTTTAGTCCTGGTTTAGTCCTGTTTTAGTCCCAGTTTAGGCTGGGTTTTAGACCTGGTTTAGTCCTGGTTTAGTCCAGGTTTTTGTCCTGGTTTAGACCTTGTTTTAGTCCTTTTTTAGTCCTGGTTTAGTCATGGTTTAGACCCAGTTTAGTCTGGTTTTTTAGACCCGGTTTAGTCCTGGTTTTAGACCTGGTTTAGTCCTGGTTTAGACCTGGTTTAGTCCTGGTTTAGACCTGGTTTAGTCCTGGTTTAGACCTGGTTTAGTCCTGGTTTAGACCTGGTTTAGTCCTGGTTAAATCCTGTTTTAGTGCTGATTTTAGTCCTGGTCTTGTGGTCCTGTCATATAAAAAACCTTTAAACGTTTCAGAGGAGAAAGGCTAACCACTCTGCCACAGTAACACGGGGACGACACTCGGTCTCTCTGTCTCTTCTTTAGTTCCATGTTTAATTCCTCGTGTAAATAATTTGGTTTCTTTGGCGTGAACATTGTAAATTGGCCTCCAGACATTTTGTGGCGTTTCACACGGAGCTTAATTAACGACGGTTTCCTAATTAAAGCTCCGTTTGGTCCTGTTTTCTTCAAAGCTTTTGTGATGAATTATTAAGTTCAGATCTAATTATAAACAGTGTACGTGGCTGGAGACGGTATAGACGGCCTCACTAATGCAGCGCGGGAAAAAACCAACATCTGACATCAAATCTGAAAACGAAAAGACACAAACCAGTCGCAACGGACGATTTATTTAGAGACACAATCACTACGGAAAGTTTGGTGTCGATCTGAGAGAAGTCGGAAACACAAACCTGCACCAAATAATCTGTGTGTCATTCGTTTATTCGTTTTTCAAAATAAAACCAGAAATAAGAAAATGAAAAAAACAACGATTTTCTTCATTATTTGTCTCTAAAACCAAAATCAAATCAAAAAACAGATAATGATTCGTTTTTTCAGTTTTTGATTTTGTGTTTAAATGAAAAATGGAAAAAACGGATAACTGCCGAACCAGGACTAAACCAGGACTTAACCAGGACTAAACCAGGACTAAAACAGGACTAAACCAGGACTGAACCAGGACTAAACTAGGACTAAAACAGGACTAAACCAGGACTAAACCAGGACTAAAACAGGACTGAACCAGGACTGAACCAGGACTAAAACAGGACTAAACCAGGACTGAACCAGGACTAACCAGGACTAAAACAGGACTAAACCAGGACTAAAACAGGACTAAACCAGGACTAAAACAGGACTAAAACCAGGACTAACCGGGACTGAACGGGACTGAAACCAGGACTAAACCAGGACTAAAACGGGACTGAACCAGGACTAACCAAGACTAAACCAGGACTAAACCAGGACTAAACCAGGACTAAACCAGGACTAAACCAAGACTAAACCAGGACTAAACCAGGACTAAACCAAGACTAAACCAGGACTAAACCAGGACTAAACAGGACTAAACAGGACTAAACCAGGACTAAACCAGGACTAAACCAAGACTAAACCAGACTAAACCAAGACTAAACCAGACTAAAACCAGGACTAAACCAGGACTAAACCAGACTAAACCAGGACTAAACCAGGACTAAACCAGGACTAAAGACTGAACCAGGATTAAAACAGGATTGAACCAGGACTAAATCAGGAGTGAACCATTTTCAGTCCAAGTCTGGTCCCAGTCAGTCCCAGTCTCAGTCCTGGTCCTGTTCCCAGTCTCAGTCCCGGTCTCAGTCCTGGTCCTGGTCCCAGTCTGATCCCGGTCTCAATCGTGGTCTGGTCCTGGTCTGGTCCTGGTCTCAGCCCCCGTCTCAGTCCTGGGCTCAGTTCTGGTCTGGTCCCGGTCCCAGTCTGGTCCCTGACTCAGTCCTGGTCTGGTCCCGGTCTGGTCCTGGTCTCAGTCCTGACTCTGGTCCCGGCCTCAGTCCCGGTCTCAGTCCTGGTCCTGGTCCCAGTCCCAGTCCCTGTCTGGTCCCGGTCCCAGTCTGGTCCCTGACTCAGTCCTGGTCTGGTCCCGGTCTGGTCCTGGTCTCAGTCCTGACTCTGGTCCCGGCCTCAGTCCCGGTCTCAGTCCTGGTCTGGTCCCGGTCCCAGTCTGGTCCCTGACTCAGTCCTGGTCTGGTCCTAGTCTGGTTCCAGTCTTGTCGCGGACCTGTTTTAGTCCTGGTTCAGTTCTGGTTCAGGCATCGCAGTCACTGAAATCACGTAAACGGGAAACTTTTTTTTTCCATTATTGATTTAAAAACAAAATCGAAAACTGAAAAAACAAATCATCATCTGTTTTTTCATTTTGGTTTTGGAGACAAATAATGAAGAAAATTGTTGTTTTTTCATTTTATTATTGTTGGTTTTATTTTGGAAAAGGAATGAACGAATGACACATGGATGAATCACTGGACGACGTCACTGACCTAAAATGAAAACTGGTTTGTTAAGAACCAAAATCGCACAAACGAAACTTTTTGCAGCTCAAACGATCGAGTTTTTGTGCAGGTTTGTGTTTGACGGGGCCAAGGTCTCAAATGCCTTTAATAAAAGTTTGATTTTTGTTTTGTTTTGCTGTTGTGACGTTTTGATGAATCAGCTTCAAATCGTTTACTTTTTCCAGACGGAGATGTTACTGTTTGGTCCGGAATGTTCCACAGTATGACATTAAACTAATTTAATCCTGCATTTGTTGATTTCTAAGTCATTTTAAAACAGAAAAACAAAAAATAAAATACAACAAAAGTTTAATGCCTTACTGTGGAACTTTCCGGGCACAGTAAACACATCTCCACGGTGACGGACTTTGTGTTTATTTTTCTTCTTCTTGTGTTTTGTTTGTGTTTCGTGTCAGGACCTGCCCAAGATCCCGGTCCCTCCTCTGGATCAGACCCTGGACACGTATTTAAAATGTGTCCAACATCTCGTCCCCGAAGAGCAGTTCAGGAAAACCAAAGCCGCAGTGGACAAGTTCGGCGCCCCCGGTGGAGTGGGGGAGCAACTGCAGAAGAAACTACAGGAGAGGAGAGAAAAGACGGAAAACTGGGTAAGAAAATAAAAGTTTCATTATTTTTGGAAAGTAAATGTTCTGTAAATATTCTGTCATCTGCCACGTTTACATCAGAGATTTAACTCCGAATTACTGAGGGATTTTTCACATGCACAGAATAAAATAATTTAATTCCGAATCAAAATTTATTCTGCTTTAAAAAGACCATGTAAACACCTGGACTGAGACCAGGACTAAGACCAGGACCAGGACCGAGACCGTGACTGAGACCGAGGCCAAACCGGGAACAGGACGAGGACTAAGACCCGGACCAGACCGTGATTGAGGCCGTGATTGAGACCGGGACTGAGACTGGGACCAGACTGGGACTGAGACCAGGACCGGACCAAGACCAGAGTGGGACTGAGACCGGGACCAGGTCAACACAGAGACCGTGACCAGACTAGGACTGAGACCGGGACCAGACTAGGACCAGGACTGAGACCATGACTGAGACCGGGACTGAGACCGGGACCAGACCAGGACCAGGACTGAGACCATGACTGAGACCGGGATTGAGACGGGACCAGACCAGGACTGAGACTAGGACCAGACCAGGACTAAGACCTGGACCAGGACCGAGACCATGACTGAGACTGTGACTGAGACCGAGGCCAAACCGGGAACAGGACTAGGACTAAGACCGGGACCAGACCGTGATTGAGACCGGGACTGAGACTGGGAGTGAGACCAGGACCGGACCAAGACCAGAGTGGGACTGAGACCGGGACCAGACCAGGACCAGGACTGAGACCAGGACCAGACCATGATTGAGACCGGGACTGTGACCAGGACCGAACTGGGACTAGACCGGGACTGAGACCATGACCAGATGGGGACTGAGACCAGGACTGGACCGGGACTGAGACCGGGACCAGGCCAAGACTGAAAGTGGGATTGAGACCGGGACCGGACCGGGATCAAGACCAGGACTCGCACTGAGATCAGGACTGAGAGACCGAGACCAGACCGTGATGGAGACTAGGACCAGACCAGGACCAGACCAGGACTGAGATCGTGACTGAGACTGGGACTGAGGCTGGGACCAAGCCAACACAGAGACCACGACCAGACCAGGACCGGGACTGAGACCAGGACTGGACAAGGACTGAGACTGGGATCAGGCCAAGACTGAGATTGTGACCGAGACCAAGACTGAGACAGCGACCAGACCAGGACTGAGACCGGTTTAGTCCTGGTTCAGTCCGACGTCGCAGTTTAAGTCACGGAAACAGGAAACAATCGTTATCCATTTTTTCCATTTTTCATTTAAACACAAAATTGAAAACTAAAAAAAAAAAAAAAAATCTTTATCTGTTTTTTCATTTTGGTTTTGGAGACAAATAATGAAGAAAATAGTTTTTGCATTTTCTTATTTTTGATTTTACTTTGAAAAACGATGAACGAATGATACACGGATTAACCAAAACAGAACTAAAACTGATAGAAAACATGAGTCTGGGAGGGCATCTGACACAAAACAAAATCAATATTAATACTTCAAAGTTTTTAAATCTCTTTGCTCAAAAACAGAACAACAACATGAACTTTTATCGTCCAAACTTTGATTCATTTCTCAGTTTGTTGACGTTGTTTTGATGGAGATTTATGATTGCGTCTGGAGCTCGGTCCCGGTCCGAGGTGAGTCCGGGTCTGATCCATCACTGCCCACGTCCCCTTCACCCAGACGGGCTTCTGCTCAGTCCACTGCCCCCATGGAGCCGCCCACGTCTGGGGGTTTTACAAACAACACCGGGTCTACAGAGACGTCCAGCCCACATAATCAGACAGAGACGACGTGAGGGAGCAGGGACACATGTGGATATATTTATTTATTTATATATTTATTGATTTATTTAGGGTTTTAGTCTGAATAGAAATACACAAATATATACATTGTTTTTGTTGTTGTCGTTGTACTGAAAGAGAAGTTTTAAGTCAGAGCAAAACCAGGAGATGCAAAAAAAAAAACTAAAAGAAGGTTTAAAGGTTGTATAGAGGATTTTTTAAGGGAAGAGAAATACAGCGACAGTTCTTTTTCAAATGTTGTGCATGCGTGACACCACCTTCCTCCTCCACAGCTCTTTCAGTAGAAACATCTCTTCCCGCCTCTTTACTCTAGAAATCACGTTTTTTTTTTTACAGCCAGTGCGCGTTCAGAATTACTGTTGACGCGTCAGTTTTTAGTCCCTTCGTCCGCTTCATTCGCGCCATCGCTGGAAGGAATCTCCAAGAATCACCTCGGTTTGTCTTTGCTCCTTTTCCCCTTCTTCTCTTCGTCTTTCAGCGACCTCAAAAACCGACTTTCTTTTGCGGCGAACTGCTCGTGGATTCTCGTCCGCCATCGCAACAAACTTTGTGCGAAATGTGAGGAAGCGACTGTTTTGAAAAAGCCTCTAAGAACCGCTGCATAAACCACGTGATCCCCGCATCCCGATGAGTCAGTTACACTAGAAATGTAGGGAGTTTGATTGACAACCTAACAGCCAATAGATAAAGAGGCAGTCTCGTTTTCTATTGGCTGATGTTTATCTGGCCTCAACACGTCCAGAGTTGATAAATTTTCATTCTTTTTTTTTTTTGGTCATAATAATTACAAAGCTGCTGCGTCTCTGTAATGGTATTTTAAACTTTCATTGACAATTTGAAACAAAAAAAAAATCCTCCATACAACCTTTAAGAACAGAGCAAAAAAAAAAAAAAAAAAGGTTTAAGAACAGAAGCAAAACCAGAAGAATATTTATGTCAAAACAAAAAAAATGAATAAAAGCAAAACCAGGAGAAGCTAAATTAGAAAACCAGTGTGTGACCCACGCGATTAACCCATCACACCCCCTAAAAAGCCTCAAAAGCTCAATTTTGAGGGACTCAAATTTTGTTTAAAAAAATAGTCCAGACGCCCCCGTCCCATACGGACCTGGACAGGTTCAGCCCCATGTTCCCAATGTTCCTCCAGTTGTCAAAGGTGGACATGTTCCCCGTTAAAACCGCGGGTCGTCCTCATCTCAACTTATCACCATGAACTTATAAAACAGCAGCGTGTAGAACAGGGGTGTCCAAACTTTTTTCATCAAGGGCCACATATCTAAACACAGATGAAGCAGAGGGTCGATCGAGGGCCGTAGACTGATGATGAATACAGTGAATAATTGAAAAATGTGCATGTTTAACACGTTAGAATGATCCATCAATCTTTATTTATGCTAAGATCTTTAAAACCAAACACTAAACATTAAATATTCGCTTTATCATGGTAGATTTTCAAAAAACTTGCAGTAAAAAATTATTTTTTAATTGAAGGAAGGTCATTTGAGCCAATTCACCTGGAAGTCTGAGGGCCAAGAAAAATTTGTCTGAGGGCCGCATTTGGCCCCCGGGCCATAGTTTGGACATGCACTGGTGTAGAACTTTGTACAAACTCACCACATCAGCCCAGAGAAGAAACCCTGAGTTCAGGAAACAGCAGCAGCAACAGAGAAAAAGACACAGGAGCCTCACCGCCGCCCCTCAGGACGGGGCTGGGTCTGGTCCTGGGTCTGGTCCTGGGTCTGGTCCTGGGTCTGGTCCTGGGTCTTGGTCCCGTCCAGAGGTTCATGTCCTGGTTCCAGACGGGGGTGAGCAAGACCAGTGCACCAGTGGACTGGGTCTGAGCGGTTCTGTGCCGTCATCTGTGCACTGGTTCCTTGTGGGGAAAGTGAAAGTGTGGTGGACTCTACTTCCTTCACCTCGGACACGTCCTCCAGCTCCTCTGGGGGGAGCCCAAGACGTGTCCAGACCAGCCCAGAGACAAAGTCCCTCCAGTGGGTCCTGGGTCTTCCCCGGGGCCTCCTCCCGGTGGAACATGAACACCTCCAGAGGGATGTGCCCAGGAGACATCAGAACAGACACCCGGGCCTCAGCTGCTCCTCTCACTGTGGAGGAGCAGCGGCTCTACTCCGAGCTCCTCCCGTGTCGTTAAAGTTGAAGTGTGTGTGTTTGTCAGGTGTATGATTACTGGCTGGAGGACATGTACCTGAACAACCGTCTGGCTCTGCCCGTGAACTCCAGCCCCGCCATGGTCTTCCCCAAACAGAACTTCAGGGACCACAGGGACGCGCTCAGGTAAATGTTCCACAGACGCACTTTAATTTACACACAGACTTTTACATGAACATATAAACATAAACTCTACAACCTGTCAAACTTTTATTTATGTTTTTAAACAGAAGGAAAGATGTTATGTTGTTATGTGCAAATTATTCTTAAATGTGATTTTATCAGAACTAAACCAGGACTAAACCAGGTCTAAACCAGGACTAAACCAGGACTAAACCAGGACTAAACCAGGACTAAACCAGGACTAAACCAGGACTAAACCAGGACTAAACCAGGTCTAAACCAGGACTAAACCAGGACTAAACCAGGACTAAACCAGGACTAAACCAGAACTGAACAGGTCTAAACCAGGACTAAACCAGGACTAAACCAGGACTAAACCAGACTAAACCAGGACTAAACCAGGACTAAACCAGGACTAAACCAGGACTAAACCAGGACTAAACCAGGTCTAAACCAGGACTAAACCAGGACTCCAAGGACTAAACCAGGACTAAAGACTAAACCAGGTACTAAAAACCAGGACTAAAACCAGGACTAAACCAGGGACTAAACTAAACCAGACTAAACCAGGACTAAACCAGGACTAAAACCAGGACTAAACCAGGTCTAAACCAGGACTAAACCAGGACTAAACCAGGTCTAAACCAGGACTAAACCAGGACTAAACCAGGTCTAAACCAGGACTAAACCAGGTAAACCAGGACTAAACCAGGACTAAACCAGGTCTAAACCAGGACTAAACCAGGTAAACAGGACTAAACCAGGACTAAACCAGGACTAAACCAGGACTAAACCAGGACTAAACCAGGACTAAACCAGGACTAAACCAGGACTAAACCAGGACTAAACCAGGACTAAATCAGGACTAAACCAGGACTAAAGCAGGTCTAAACCAGGTCTAAACCAGGACTAAATCAGGACTAAACAGGACTAAAGCAGGTCTAAACTAGGACTAAACCAGGACTAAAGCAAGACTAAACCAGGACTAAACCAGGTCTAAACCAGGACTAAACCAGGAATAAATCAGGACTAAACCAGGACTAAAGCAGGTCTAAACCAGGTCTAAACCAGGACTAAACCAGGACTAAATCAGGACTAAACAGGACTAAAGCAAGACTAAACCAGGTCTAAACCAGGACTAAACCAGGACTAAATCAGGACTAAACCAGGACTAAACCAGGTCAAAACCAGGACTAAACCAGGACTAAACCAGGACAAAAACAGATCTACAGAGATATGATCCATAAACCAGGACTACAGATCTCCAAATTCCACCTGAGACCTGACCTGCTTCAGCTCAGTTTGAACCACAATCGTCCAATCAAATCCTCCCTGACGCCCTCCCCCTGCCCCTGTCAGATGGTCCCTGGTTAGTCCTGGTGAGTCCCGGTTTAGTCCTGGTTGAGTTCTCGGTCTTCCCCCGCTCCTCCTCCTCCTCCTCCTGGTTTTATCGATCGGATTTTGAAGCGAGTGACCTGAAGACAAATGAGCCTCGGCGGTTTGACAGGAGCGCCCACCCAATTACACACGAGTCTATGGGCCGACAGGACAGGGACAGAACGGGGTCATGCTCTACGATAAAGCCGCACTGTGTAACTTTTCTGATTGAGGGTTTGCATTTATGTTGTTATGTGTAAATTTTGTTATTCTTAAATTTGATCATAGCAGGACTAAAGCAGGACTAAACCAGGTTAAATAAGACTAAACCAGGTCTAAATCAGAACTAAACCAGGTCTAAATCAAGACTAAACCAGGACTAAATCAGGACTAAACCAAGACTAAACCAGGTCTAAATCAGGACTAAACCAAGACTAAACCAGGTCTAAATCAGGACTAAACCAGGTCTAAATCAGGACTAAACCGGACTAAACAGGACTAAACAGGACTAAACCAGGACTAAACCAGGACTAAACCAGGTCTAAATAGACTAAACCAAGACTAAACCAGGTCTAAATCAGGACTAAACCAGGTCTAAATCAGGACTAAACCAGGTCTAAATCAAGACTAAACCAGGTCTAAACCAAGACTAAACCAGGTCTAAATCAGGACTAAACCAGGTCTAAATCAGGACTAAACCAAGACTAAACCAGGACTAACTAGGATTAAAGCAGGTTTAAACCAAGACTAAACCAGGACTGAACCAGGTCTAAACTAGGACTAAAGCAGGACTAAACCATGAGTAAACTGGGACTAAACCAGGTCTAAAGCAGGACTAAACCAAGACTAAACCAAGACTAAACCAGGACTAAACAAGGATAAAACCAGGACTAAACCAGGACTAACTAGGATTAAACCAGGATGAAACCAGGACTAAAACAGGTCTAAATCAGGACTAAACCAAGACTAAACCAGGACTAAACCAGGACTAAACAAGAATAAAACCAGGACTAACTAGAATTAAACTAGGACTAAACCAGGTCTAAACCAGGACTAAACCAGAACTGAACCAGGACTGAACCAGAAATAAACCAGGTCTAAACGAGGACTAAACCAGGACTAAAGCAGGACTAAACCAGGACTAAACCAGGACTGACCCTGAATCTCATACACACACCGTCTGCCTGTCTCCATGGAGATTATATTGCTTTGCATGTAATGTCCCACAGTATGGCATTAAACATCTATATCTATATTTTTGTGTTTTATTGGTCAAAAATATTTTCTTATTCTTACTGTGAGTCTGTAAACACTGACCTGTAGTTTCTGTGTTTTTTTCAGGTTTGCGACTCGGATCATCAGAGGAGTCCTGGACTACAAGGCTCGAATCGACGCGTGAGTGTGATTATACATGTCAGACATTATATTTGATAAATGGATTATTAGTAGATCCTGGTTTAGTCCGTGGATTTCAGAACGATACAACATGACGACCGTGGACAACTTCTCACTTAGACTTAGACTTAGACAAACTTTATTGATCCACAAGGGAAATTATTTGGACACAGTAGCTCAATTAACAATTAAAAAAAATTATAATAAAAAAACTGTAATGATATAAAGTGCTTAAAATCTGTTGTTTCTTCTAACACAAAGGGGCAAAGGATCATGGTACATGTAGTTTCCTTTGTTTTTTTTTGTTTTGTTTTTTTATTTTAATATGTCTGGTACTGCCGTGCTCCTGGTCCAAATTTGGTCTAAATCTGTTCCAAACCTAATTAAAACCTGGTCTACACCCTGGTCTTACTCTAAACTTTATCTAAACCCTGGTCTAATTCTGGCCCATGGTCTTGTCTCTGGTCTTGGGTCATTGTTACAGAGATGACCTGTCTGTAGATGAATCTCAGGTGTAGTTGGCTGGGATTACCAGGATCCTGGTCCAAACATGATCTAACTCTGGTCCAAACCTGGTATAAACCTGGTCTAAGCCTGATCAAAACCTGGTCTAAACCTGGTCTACACCTGGTCCAAACCTGATCAAAACCTGGTCTAACCTCTGGTCTAACTCTGGTCCCTGGCCTTGTCTCTGGTCTTGGGTCTTTGTTACAGAGTTGACCTGTCTGTAGACAAAGTAGCTCAGGGGTAATTGGCTTGGACCCGTATGATCCTGATCTGAACCTGGTCCAAACCTGGTCCCTGATCTAAACCTGCTCAAAACCTGGTCTAAATCTGATCTCTGGTGTTAGTTACAGAGATGGCCTCCCTGTGGATATAGCTTGGGGACAGTTGGTTGGTACACCCATGATCCTGGTCTAAACCTGGTCTAAACTTGGTCTAAACCTGGTTTAAAATTGGTCAAAACCTGATCAAAACCTGGTCTAAACCTGGTCTAACTCTGGTCCATGGCCTTGGGTTTTGGGTCATTGTTACAGAGATGACCTGCCTGTAGACATAGTAGCTCAGGGGTAGTTGGCTCGGACTCCCATGATCCTGGTCTAAACTTGGTCCAAATCTGGTCCCTGGTCCAAACCTGGTCTAAACCTGGTCTAAACCTGGTCCAAACCTGGTCTCTGGTCTATGGTGTTTGTTACAGAGATGACCTCCTGGTGGACATAGCTTGGGGACAGTTGGCTCAGACCCCTTTCCTGGTCTAAACCTGGTCCAAACCTGATCTAAACCTGGTCTAAACCTGGTCTAAACCTGGTCTAACCCTGATCTGGCTCTGGTCCCTGGTCTGGTCTCTGTTGTTTGTTACAGAGCTGACCTCCCAATGAACGTGACTTGGGGACAGTTGGCTGGGACCCCTATGATCCTAGTCCAAACCTGGTTTAGACTTGGTTCAAACCTGATCTAAACCTGGTCTAACCCTGGTCTCTGTTGTTTGTTACAGAGCTGACCTCCCGGTGGACGTGGCTGGGGGGCAGTTGCCTGGGACGCCCATGTGCATGCAGCAGTACAGACGTCTCTTCACGTCGTACCGATATCCGGTTCAGACCTCGGACTCGCTCTCGGTCAAAGTCGACTGCAAAGGACCCGAGCACATGATCGTCGCCTGCAAGAACCAGGTACCAAGAGTCCTGGACTTTCCTACGATTACGATTACGAAGACAATAAAACTTAACGTCTTTCTTCTCCCCAGTTCTTCGTGTTGGAGACTTTACTGAACGGTGAACTCATGACTGACGCCGAGATCTTTTCACAACTGGATAAAATCATGAAAATGGCAGAAAACCCGAGCGAAAGAGCGCCCCCTGTGGGTCTGCTGACGTCTGACGGACGCAACGAGTGGGCTCAGGCCAGAGAGGCGCTCGTCAAAGGTACGACCGTCTTTACAGAACCTGCTTAGACCTGGTTTAGTCCTGGTTCAGTTCTGGTTCAGTCCTGATCGCTCTCTATGTCAACCCAGTAAACCAGACCTCCTTAGTCCTGGTTCACTTCTGATTCTGTCCTGATCTCTCTCAGTCCCAGTAAACCGGACATTCTTAGACCTGGTCTAACCCTGGTCTTTCTCTCTCTCAGACCCAGTAAACTGGACCTCCTCAGACCTGCTTGAGTCCAACCTGTGCCTGGTTCAGTCCTGGTATACTCCTGGAAAACTCCTGGTCTAACTCTGGTCTTTCTCTCTCTCAGACCCAGTAAACTGGACCTCCTTAGACCTGGTTTAGTCTTGGTTCAGTTCTGGTTTAACCCCAGTCTGTCTCTCTCTCAGACCCAGTAAACTGAACTTCTTTAGACCTGATTAAGTCCAGCCTGGTCTGTCTGGTTCAGTCCTGGTTCAGTCCTGGTTCAGTCCTGGTTCAGTCCTGGTTCAGTCCTGGTTCAGTCCTGGTCTAGCCCCGGTCTCTCTCTCTCTCAGACCCAGTATACCGGACCTCCTTAGACCTGGTTCAGTCCTGGTTCAGTCCTGGTCTTACCCTGGTCTTTCTCTCTCTCTCTGTTAGACCCTGTAAACCGGACCTCGTTGGACCTGATTGAGTCGAGTCTGTGCCTGGTCTGTCTGGATGAGCCCTGTAGTCCTTTAGACCAGAGTGACTCGAGCAGAGCCGCCATGATGCTCCACGGGGGCGGAGTCGAGAAGAACGGCGCCAACCGCTGGTACGACAAGTCCATGCAGGTAAAAAAAAAAACTACAAAAAAAAAAAGACAACATGATCAAGTATTTGTGGTTTTGACGAGGAAACAATATCAAAAAAGTCAAATTTGCTTAGAGAAATCATTTAAAAATGTTATATAATATTAAATCCTGCTTCTGACCAAGTGTTCCTCTGTGTTTTTAAAGCTTCACTGTGTAACTTTCGTGTTTTTGTGTTTGTGTTTCAGTTCGTTGTGGGTTTGAACGGCGTGTGTGGAGTCGTTTGTGAACATTCTCCATTTGAAGGAATCGTCCTGGTCCAGTGCTCAGAGTTTCTCCTCAAATACATGTACGATATTTTTACTACTACTACAACTATTACTACTGCTACTGCTACTACTACTGCTACTACTACTACTACTACTACTGCTACTACTACTACTGCTACTACTACTACTACTGCTACTACTACTACTACTACTACTACTGCTACTACTACTACTACTACTGCGACTGCTAACTGCTACTACTGCTACTGCGACTGCTACTGCTACTGCGACTACTGCTACGACTGCTACTACTACTACTACTACTACTGCGACTGCTACTGCGACTACTGGTACTACTGCGACTGCAACTGCTACTGCGGCTGCGACTGCTACTGCGACTACTACTGCTACGACTGCTACTACTACTACTACTACTGTGACTGCTACTACTACTACTACTACTACTGCGACTGCGACTACTACTTCGACTGCTACTACTGCTACTCTGACTGCTACTGCGACTACTGCTACGACTGCTACTACTACTACTACTACTACTGCGACTGCTACTGCTACTACTGCTACTACTGCTACGACTGCTACTACTACTACTGTGACTGGTACTACTACTACTACTGCGACTGCTACTACTACTACTGTGACTACTACTGCGACTACTGCTACTACTGCTACTACTGCTACTGCTACTACTACTACTGCGACTGCTACTGCGACTACTGCTACTACTGTGACTGCTACTACTACTACTACTACTGTGACTGCTACTACTACTACTGCGACTGCGACTACTACTTCGACTGCTACTACTACTACTGCGACTGCTACTACTACTACTACTGTGACTGCTACTACTGCTACTACTGCTACTACTGCTACTACTACTACTACTACTACTACTGCTACTACTGCGACTACTACTGCTACTACTACTGCTACTACTGTGACTGCTACTACTACTACTACTACTGTGCTACTGCTACTGCGACTACTACTACTACTGTGACTGCTACTACTGCTACTACTGCTGACTACTACTACTACTGCGACTGCTTACTGCGTACTGCTACTGCGACTTACTGCTACTACTGCGACTACTGCTACTACTGCTACTGCTGACTGCGACTGCTACTGCTACTGGACTACCGTTACTTGGTACTACTACTGTGACTGCTACTACTACTACTACTACTTGTTCAGTCCTGTTTCAGTCCTGGTTCAGTCCTGGTTCAGTCCTGGTTTAGTTCCTGGTTTCAGTCCTGGTTCAGTCCTGGTTTCCTGGTTCAGTCAGTCCTGGTTCAGTCCTGGTTTAGTCCTGGTTCAGTTTTAGTCTAACCTTGTGCATTATTCCTTCTCCAGTATTGGAAGTCCGTCTAAGATGTCGACAGTGGTCAGTGGAAAAGCTCTTCCTGTTCCCAAACGTCTGATGTGGAAAATCTCTCCTCAAATCCAAGACTTCATCTCAGCGTCTGGCACCAGGCTCCACGGGTCTGTTTACTCCAAACACAAACCACGTTACACTTTTATTTAAAACCCTACGAAGTCTCACTTAAGTAAAAAATGAAAAAGTGACTAAAAACTGAATATTTTTGAGGTGGAAAATAATTTATTTTCTACATTATTACAATTATATGTTAATCAAACTATAAGTATTCTTAGTATTTGAATTCCGAGACACTTCTTCTGAAATAATCATATTTTCTATCACAATTTCTTTCTTTTTTTTCAGTAAAAACACTTAAAGGTGCATTATGTAAATTTTTGATTGGGGATCCATCACCTGCTTGTTTCTATGGAGATGTCATTGCTCTGTTTTGAATGTTCCACAGTATTTTAAACATTAAACAGCTCTACTTTACATTTATTCAATTACAGGTGGTCAAAAAATACCTAGAAAATCGAGTATTCTGACGCCTCTCCACAGATCTGACCTTGTAACTTGGTCTGGTTTAACGATTTAATGCCATATTGTGAAACACTGCAGACAAAGCAATAACATCTCCATGGAGAAAAGCGTTTGATGAACCCTCCACCAGAGAAGTTTCACGAAGCAGCTTTCAGAGATGCTTTTCTACTTTGTGTTCAGCTACAGAAATGGAAAATGGAAGACTTATAATAGAGCTTTTCTTTTTGCAGATTGGTGAGAAACCTGGACATGGACGTGTTTAAGTTCAGCGCTTACGGAAAAGAATTCATAAAAAAGCAGAAGATGAGTCCGGACGCTTTCATCCAAGTGGCCTTACAGCTCGCCTTCTACAAGTGAGAAACGAGACGATTATCAAGAACTGTTTCAAACTATGGAGCTGTTGTCCTGGTTTAGTTCTGTTCCTTGGTCTTCTTTAATCCTGCTTCAGTTTTAGACCTGGTTTAGTCCTGATTTAGTCCTGTTTTGTCCTCGCTGAGCTGAACACCAGGTCCCATTATGACGTGTGACATCAGAAATGTGCAGTTTTGACCAAACAGAGCGAGAGCTGCTAGAGCGGAGCTAGAATGGGCTCAGAGGCTAAGGCTTACAAAGATCACTTTTAGGCACTGTGACGATAAAAAAAAAAAAAGTCCATATTGCAGAAATACAAAAGAATCCCTTCAAAATCTGATTCATCAGCCGGTTTCACTTCATGGAAACCATTTGACCTCGCAGCATTAGGATTCGTTCACTCGACAGTAGGCGGGTACTTTTTTATTTAACCAATCACTGCTGTTTGGTCAGGACGTATGTAATGCTCCAAATCCTGTAGGAAGAAGGACAATAACATCTTTCCCTTTGATTAAAATCGCCAAACATTCTCTTTGTTCTGGCTTTAAATCCTCGATCTCGGGAATCCCTGCCAACACAGAATGTCTGTCTTCGTCTACGTCCATCTCGACGCTTTGTTTACTGTTGTGCTGTTCCACAAAAGAGACACAGACAGACGCGGCGAGTTTGATGTCATGGCTTCACAGCTCTTCACTGATTGGCCGGTGCGCGGTCTACAACTTCCAGGGTTCTTGCAAAACCATCTAGTGTATTCTGATTCCTGACCTAGTCGTTGGAGAGAAATTAAATTGAGCGGAGGCACTAGGTGGCACCAGCCTGACTAACAAAATCCGACCTTTATGGGAAAATTCTATTTGGGCTGGAGCTCCCACGAGCTGCAGTACTTGGAGCGGCCACTAATCGATCTTGCTTGTGGACAGAAGGGGAGTGTCTTGTCCAGTATTTATTATAGATCCATTGTATTACCACATGACATCAAAAGGTGGAACAGAGTGTTTTCTGTCTGAGAGAAGAGCTCAGTCTAAATCTGCAGTTTGGTTTGTGAGTTGAACATGTGTGAATGAAACAAAACACAACTCCAGGTCTGTTTGTGATGATGAAACTACATTAGAACATAGATCAGAAAATAGCGTAATATGGGTCCTTTAATGTTTTCTTTTTTTACTGTTATAATAAAAGCACATATCTTCTCCGTTCCTCTGTCCTCTTGTAGATGTAACCGCAGACTCGTGTCCACCTACGAGAGCGCATCGATCCGCCGTTTCAGAGAAGGACGAGTGGACAACATCAGATCGGCCACGAGACAGGCTCTGGCTTTTGTCCAGGCCATGACCCAGGACAAACCACCTGCCAGCGTGAGCATCCTCCTCCTCCTCTCCTCCCCCTCCTCTCCTCCTCCCTTTCCTCTTTCTCTTCCCTCTCTCTCCTTCTCCTCTGAGCTCAGGTTCAATCTAATTACACTCAGAACAGGTGCATTATTACAGTGGAGACTCAGGCTGGTGTGTGCGACTTTCATCCGAGTTGGAGTCATTTAGTCGTTTAGTACCTGATACCTTTTACTGTCTTAAAACACAGACTGTTTATAGAAATGGACGTCGCTCTCCGGGGTGGGTGGAGAGTCCCTGCCTCACGTGGAGGAGTTCAAGTATCTCGGGGTCTTGTTCTCGAGTGAGGGGAGGATGGAGTGTGAGATTGACAGGTGGATCGGTGCAGCGTCGGCAGTGATGCGGTCGCTGTATCGAACCGTTGTGGAGAAGAGGAAGGTGAACCGAAAGGCAAAGCTCTCGATTTACCGTCAGTCTATGTTCCTCCCCTCACCTATAGTCATGAGCTCTGGGTAATAGGGTGGGGGTAGGGTGGCTGGGTGCTCCCTTAGAGATAGAGTGAGGAGCTCAGTCACACGGGAGGAGCTCAGAGTAGAGCCGCTGCTCCTCCACGTCGAGAGGAGCCAGTTGAGGTGGATCTGTTCTGATGCCTATTGTGCACCTTCCCTGGGAGGTGTTCCGGGCACGTCACACCCAAAGAAGGCCCCGGGGAAGACCCAGGACACGCTGGAGGGACTATACCACACCATACCAACTTTATTTATGATTGAAACACTTTAAAAACTTTACAGTTGGCCAAAGTGCTGTACACAAACACAGAACAGACAATGACAATTGCAGTAGAAGAAAATACACAGTAGAAACACAATACAACTGCTAAAAACACAGTAAGGTAGTCAATCACAAGAAATGTTAAAAGCCTGTTAAAAAAGGTGCATTTTTAGGAGTGATTTAAAAACAGGTACGGACTCGGCCCGTCTAATCTCTAATGGCAACTGGTTCCACAGCCGCGGGGCAGCAACAGAAAACGTACGGTCCCCACGAAGCACTATGTCTCTGAGCTGGCCTGGGAACACCTTTGGGTCCCCACGGAGGAGCTGGGGGAAGTGTCCGGAGTGAAAGAAGTCTGGGAGTCCCTGCGTAGACTTCTGCCCTCGCGACCCGGCTGTGGATAAGTTGAAGAAAATGGATGGATGCCTAACTTACTACCAGGACGCTTCTGGCTCCATCTACTCTGGCTCCAACTGACTTTACCAAAAAAAAAAAAAAAAATCACATCTCCATGGACAGAAAAAACTAGCAGACCATCCACCTCAGAAGTTACATATTGCACCTTTAAAGTTAAATAGTCTTTTTATTGGGAAAAGTCCTGAAAATGTCCCCTATAACATGAAACTGAAACCAATGACTAGGAGTAGTTTGATTTACCTGTCCAGCCAGAACTACACACTTTGGAAAAACTCTACAAAAACGAGTGGATCTGGAGCTATGTCCTGTCTCCCTGATCAGAGGGCGTGACTGACAGGTGGATTAACCAATCAGAGAGAGGCAGAATCAACAATCAAAGCACCAAACTATAACTTATCTCAGGTGAAGGTGAAGACACGTGATACGAATGAGCAGCTGTGGTTTGATCGTCTCGAGTTTGGACAGAGGTTTTTCGTGCTCTATTGTTGAGCACCAGTTCCTTCTCAACAGCTTAACCATTGCCACTGGATTATTTTACAAATTTCTTTACTTATTTTTCAGGACGCAGAGAAGATGCAGAAGCTGAAGGAGGCCATACGAGTTCAGACCGACAACACTTTAGCGGTAAGAAACTGCTGTTCACGTCAAATCACAACATCACATTAAAATCTCTAAAGTTGAACCTGAGCTGGAGACCTGAAAGAGTCAGATGCAGATTTGTTGACCTGGTTTATTGTTCATATCTCTGTAATTCCTGGGCCTATCCACATGAAACAAAAACTGGCACAAAGTTCAGCCTCTTCTCTGACAGTTTAAATAAACAAAAGTTGAATTATTTTTGCCTAATAGCTTCAAGTGGTGCCATTTTGTGGAGCCGATCCCAAACAAACAATGAGAAGGTTCAACATTTGTGGCTCAGAAGTTTGGAGATTTCTTCCAAAGTGAAGCTCCCGTAGAGTTATATTTGAAACTAAACTCTAAAATCTTTCTTTCTTAACCCTTCTTCAGGCGATCACGGGAAATGGCATTGACAATCACCTCCTGGGGCTGCTGAGGATCTCCAGAGACCTGAAGATGGAGAAACCCGAGATGTTCTGTGATCAAACCTACGTCAGCAGCAACCAGTTCATCCTGTCCACCAGCCAGGTACACATTTATAAAGCGGGACTGTGTGTTTAATGTGTGTTTGTGTTGGTTTATTTCCTTATAATTCTTTATTGTCTCCCGTGGAAGAAATTTGTCTTGGGACTGGGGATCACAGCTTTATCACAAACACAGGACAACACAACAAAAGCACCACACAAACATCCATGATCGAACATAAATGAATAAGAGACCAAGTATGACCACGAGCAATACACCAACAGGAACTTTAAGTCACTCTTTACAGGGAAACCCTTCACAGTCTTGTATTCTATTCATAATTGCACATTCCCTAAGCCGATGAGCAGTTTTGATTACACATTTTTTACCTATGTGCAGTTTTGATTGCACATTGCTTTGACCTATGTGCAGTTTTGATTGCACTTTTTTTTTACCTATATGTAGTTTTGATTGCACATTCCCTCAACCTATTGCACATTCTCCTGACCTATGTGCAGTTTTGATTGCACATTCCCACAACACATGTGCAGTTGTGATTGCACATTCCCACAACATATGTGCAGTTTTGATTGCACATTCTCCAGACCTATGTGCAGTTTTAATTGCACATTCCCTCGACATATGTGGAGTTTTGATTGCACATTCCCTTGACATATGTGCAGTTTTGATTGCGCATTCCCTCGACATATTTATAGTTTTGATTGCACACTTCCCTGACCCATGTGTAGTTTTGATTGCACATTCCCTCGACATATGTGCAGGCTTGATTGCACATTTTTTTGACCTATGCACAGTTTTGATTGCACATTCCCCTGATCTATGTGCATTTTTGATTGCACATTCCCTTGATCTATGTGCATTTTTGATTGCACATTCCCTCAACATATGTGCAGTTTTGATTGCACTTTCCCTCAACATATGTGCAGTTTTGATTGCACATTCCCTTGACATATATGCAGGTTTGATTGCACATTCCCTTGATCTATGTGCATTTTTGATTGCACTTGTTTTTTTTTTTTTTTTTTTACCTATGTACAGTTTTGATTGCACATTCCCTCGACCTATGCGCAGTTTTGATTTTACACAGATGTGCAATAGTAGAAGTTATTACTTTACTGAAAATGTGCAACTGTATGGCATTAAACATATCTTTTTGTTTGCTTGTTTTTTTGTTTTGTTTTGTTTCCACTTCCACTTAGTTTTGTGGTGTCATCTGCTTGTTTCCATGGAGATACTGTCTGTGTGATATGTGTTTAATGCCATACTGTTGGAATATCCCATGCACAATCACAATACACACACATTAATTATTATGAAATTAAGTTTAATATAAATATTGCAGTTAAAATTCCTCATATGAACAACTTAACTGGATTTAAATATTGTCAGAGCAGAAGTTCGTCTCACATCTTCAGGAAGCCGCTGCAGATTTTAGCATCATAAACCTGAAACGCCGAGTCCCCCCCTGAGTCCTCATTAAACCTTTTATTCAGTTTCCACTTGCACAAACGTCACCTTAAACACGAGCTTGATTTCCCGTCTCCTTCTCCCAGGTGCCCACCACGGTCGAGATGTTCTGCTGCTACGGTCCGGTGGTTCCAAACGGCTACGGAGCCTGTTACAATCCTCAGGCCGACCACATCGTCTTCTGCGTGTCCAGCTTCAGGCAGAGCACCGACACCTCCTCCGCCGAATTCTCCAAAGCCCTGCAGGAGGCGCTCTCTCAAATCAGGGACCTGTGCGTGCGAGCCCACAAACCCGACCCCAGCCCCGCCCACAAGGGAAGTAAGCCATAAACGCTCAGACATTTTAGGTTTAGGTTATAGCCAAAATATTATGACCACTTTATTTTATTTATTTTATGTATTATTTTATTTATTTATTTATTTTTATTTTATTATTTTTATTTATTATTATTTATTTATTTATTTATTGTCGCTTTGAGTAAAAACAAAAAAGTAAGAATTTGACGTTAAAGGTGCACTGTGTAACTTCTCTGGAGAGGGTTTGTCTCCATGGATATGTTAATGCTTTGGTCTAAATGTTCCGCAGTATGGCATTAAACTAACCTGTGTTGCATTTATTCGATTACAAGGTGTTATTTATGACTCGAAAATATCTTAAAATAACATTAATTCTGACAGTTTGTGGGGTCGCCTCTCCACAAATCTAACCCGTAATTTGGTTTGCGAGTCTCCATGGAGATTCATAAGTTTATGGTCATACTGTGGAACATTCTAGGCACATCTCCACGGAGACGAGCAGGTGACGCTCCCTCCACCGGAAAAGTTACACGGTGCACCACTAAAGCTGATGTGTAAAATCAGTTTAAACTATTTAAATTCAGAATCTTAAGTTTGGTTGCCGGATCAAATCTTGGTAAAAACTCAAAAAATCCTTGGGCAAGACACTTTACTCCACTCCAGTCACACTAAATTGGGGTTTTTCTAATTTGCTAAAAGAAATTCCCGCCAGTTTCAACATATTTTTTGTTGATTTAAGCCATCGAATTTGCAATTGTGAGTTAAAAATATTCCATGTTCCAAGTCGTGCCTCTTGAAACCATTTAACCTACTATATGTCGAAAAAAAACAAATAATTCACACCTTATTTTTTTATAGTTTAGTCCTAGTACTGTTGCCATAGCGATCCGCAACAAAAAAAAACAAAATAGTATATCTTTTAAATGGAATCAAGTTCTCAAAATGGAAGCAGAAATCCATGAATACCTGGTTCAGTCCTGGTCTAGTCCTGGTCTAGTTACAGGCTTGTGGTCATAATGTTTTGGCTCATCTGTGTGTATAAATATGTAGTTATATTCATATTTAGATTAGAAAAAGCCTCTGTGTCCTTGTGGTTTGTGCAATAGTCTTACTGTAAATCTCAAAGCCTTAATGTAATCAGAAACAATGTAAAAACATGTTAAAATGGGGAAATAAGAGAGTTCAGTTCTGAATATTTGGTCCCTGGTTCAGGAAGTAAAAAAGAAGCCATGACAAAACCAACACGACTGTCCACAGGGTTTGGTGCAATTGTAAAATGTTTATATTTTTATGTATTTATTTATTTATTTATTTATTTAAAGGAGACATGTTGTGCTGAATGGACTTTAAAGAGATTTTAAACACGTCCAAATACTTTTATCTCATCATTAAAGTGGGACAAAACTCTTAAACTCCGCCCACAAACGCATTTCAAATAGAGCTGCTAAACTGGGCGGGGCCTGGTGGACTAAAGGGGAGAGTGAGGGGAGGAGCGGTCTGGACTAAAGGGGAGAGTGAGAGCGTGAGGGAGAAGGACGGGGGTCTGGAGGACTAAAGGGGGGAGTGATGGGAGGAGGGGCCAGGTGGACTAAAGGGTAGAGTGAGGAGGAGGGAGGAGGGGTCTGGAGAACTAAAGGGGAGAGAGAGGGGGGAGGAGGGGTCTGGAGAACTAAAGGGGAGAGAGAGGGGGGAGGAGGGGTCTGGAGAACTAAAGGGGAGAGTGAGGGAGGAGGAGGGGTCTCAAGGACTAAAGGGGAGAGTGAAGGAGAGGAGAGGGGTCTGGAACAAAGGGGAAAGTGAAGGAGGAGGAGGGGTCTAGAGGATTAAAGGGAGAGTGGGGGGGTCTGGAGGACTAAAAGGGAGAGTGAGGGTGGAGGAGGGTTGTCTGGACTAAAGGGGAGAGTGAGAGAGTGTGGGTGGAAGAGGGGGGTTTGGACTAAAGGGAAGAGTGCACTAGGCTGTAATCAAGGCAGTCTTGTGTGATGTCACATAGTACTTGAAATGATCAGTGAACAGTGGATCCAGGACTCACTCATTTTTATACTTTAGTTTTTACCGCAAAGCTACAAATTTATCGATAGATTACACCAACATTGCCAAAAAATAAAAAAAATATACACAGTTTAGTTCCACTTTAACTCACTAAGAACAGACTTATTTCTTGTATTAAGTCATTTTACATTAATATTCTGATTAAAAATGTCCAAATTATAACATATGATCCACTGTTGTCATAGATTATCACTATATATATGAGACCAAAGCATAATATGTCTTCTACAGTGACTTTATTGTGAAAATGCTATTGAGTTGGAACCAGTGACCAAATATTTCAAAATAAAACATCGGTATTTATTCAAAACCAGTTAGAAAAATGTATAGAGAATTTTATGGTAAAAACTGGTGCTGCCTTAGGAGCCAAAGCCATGCATTTAACCCAGAGGAGAGTGAGTGTGTATTTTAAATATTATTCAAATAAAAGAAAACTACACTATGTTTTAAAGTGACTATGACAGGTTGGACCACTCATTTGACTAAAACACAGTTACGGTCATATATTTAATATATATACATATATATAAGATTTTACAACAAAAATATTACAATTCTTTTTCCAAATTTGACCATTTTTTAGAACATCACTAAAGAATTCAACTCCTCAAACTCCTCTGATGTGCACAGAAATTATTATATAACAGATAAAATGATAAGAAAACACCTTTGTTTTCTTTAAATAATGTTTAAAGTATCAGAAAAATGTTGTTTCTTGTGCAAATTGTGCAGAACTTTTGGACAGAATTCTCCACTTTCTCTGTAATTTTCAATATATTTTTCAACTTTTCTTCACAAATTGCTTCTTGATTTGTATAAAACTATCATTTGCATTTATCCCACCAAATTAAGTCCAAAATAGAGACTCATCGAAACCTGTCATGAGCACTTTAAATGGACTTCTATGCTAAAAGAGTAAAGATGTCAACATTTGAAAACTATGTAGCTATATATATTTACTGTATTATGCAATTTCTTTAACATTCCTTCTCAGACCAACTGCACTGAAGTGTTTGTTTGAATCTAATTTTAAAGTTTAACCATAAATATTGTTAAATGATATGATTATGTACAGACAACTTGTTTTAAAATACCAAAAATATCATGTAAACAGAGGTGGGTAGAGTAGCCAAAAATTGTACTTAAGCAAGAGTAACGTTACTTTAAAAAAAAAAATAAATAAATGTACAGTTGTATAGTTTATAAAGTGAAAGTACAAAGTCATGGTCCAAGAAATGTCTCAAGTACAAATAAAAAAGTATTTAGCAATGTGAATTTGAAGTTAATTGGAAGAAGACAACATTAAAGGTGCACTATGTCACTTTCTGGTTAGAAGTCCGTCACCTGCTTGTTTCTATGCCGATGTCATTGCTCTGGAATGTTCCACAGTGTGACATTAAACAGCTCTACTTTACATTTATTCAATTACAGGTGGTTTTATAGCTCAAAAATACCTAGAAAAACAAACATTCTGACTGTGAGCGGGGTCGCCGCTCCACAGATCTGACCTGTAACTTGGTCTGGTTTGGTCTCCGTGAAGATAGAAAGGTTTAATGCCACACTGTGAAACATTCCAGACAAAGCAAAGCATCTGACGGACGCTCCACCAGAAAAGTTACACAACGCAGCTTTAAATATTGAACCGAATCTGGCATTTTCAAGTAAAAGACACAAAAATTTCATATTATCCACATAAAGCTTTTGTCCTTTAAACTTTTACACTTTTACTCAAGAGTATACTTCAATAAAATATTACTCGAGTAGTTGTAAAAGTATGCTGCTAGGAAAGTACTCTGAAAAGTACAATTTCTTTAAAAAGTTACTCAAGTAAACATAACAGAGCTCTACCCACTTCTGCATGTAACTTTATTTTTGACATATATTTTTCTTGCAATATTATTTTATCACTTAGAAACTAGAGACATCATATAAAACTATCGATATCGTGCATAGGATCTATTTATTTAAAAAATAATAATAAATGTAAATGTTTATTGTGTAATATTTTTGTCATTTGCTCCGTATGTGTTGCCAAAGAAGCTATTTTTTGTACATAAAATAATGAACTATAACTGCACTTTAATCTATGTAAATTATATGCATTTATTTATATATTGTAGTGTTTTGAAGGTGAATAAGTGGTTTCAGTGGTGTTTTTGTCAATATTTGAGCAATAGTTAGTAAAAATCTAGAGTAGCATTAGCGGGTTAGCATTAGCGAGTTAGCATCACAATGCTAGCTGAGGCAAATCACTGTGCCAGAGTTCGTATATCATAGATGCTTTTAATTTGCATTTTTAAAGGCGCTGTACCTGATTTTTTACAGTTTAAAAAGCGCAAAAAAAACTAAAGTAGTTCATTGTAAACAGTTTGTAATCGTTCGAAGTTATTACACAGTTATCTTACTCATTCAGAGCTTCATAATTATTGAGTTTTTTTTAGCGCTTTTCACAACATTCAGAGACCAGTGCGGTGTTTTGTAGTGTTAGTGATGGTAAAGCTGACTACATCTAGCATTCTAACACGCAATTCCTGATTCTCAAACCATAAAACGCTTTATAATTAGATGCTGACAGTAAACAAAAGACTTATTTCGACCTCGAGAGCTGCTTATAAAATATATCTGTACTGCGGCAAGTCACGTTTAGCTCGAATACATGGGAAAAAAAAGGTACATGCCCTTTAAGTCCTATTTAAATCCTTATTTATTAACAATTTATGTAACGATATTCATCTCACGGTATGATATTTATTGCGATATTTTGAAGAGGCTGATATAATTGTAGATGGGAAACCTTTTTGCCTTTAAAGTAACTTGACAAGATTTTGGTGTGAATTATTACCATCATAATCCCAAGAATTAAAGTAAAAAACCATATCTCTTCATGTTTTCTGCGCTGAAATGAATCATGGGATATGTAGTCCCCTATTTTTATAAGCTGTTGTTACTATAAAACCATGCCTTTAAGCAACTTACTGTGA